TCAGTAGGGCCTCAATGGACCCGATCATTTGTATTTCTATTGCTGGTTGATGCCTATTGTCTGAGGCCTACATTATGAGACCCACTGAGGGAAGGTAGAGGAGAGTGGTGGGGGGTATGAGTGAACAGGGTTGGGCAAGAGCTGATAGCAGGGGAGTTGGTGGGGACGTGGTAGTGTGGGTCCACAGGGTTGTTCCAGTACTCTATTTTTCTTTAGAAGTGTTCAGAGTAAAAAAGCATATGTGTGTGTGTGTGTATCCAGAATTTGACTATTTCTCACCATCTCACTGCTACCACTCTGGTCCAAGCTAGCATCATGTCTTGCCTGGATCGTTGTAAGGGTCTCCTTGCTTTTCCCCCTGCCCCTCTAGGATCTGTTCTCAACATATCAGACACAGTGGTCCTCAAAACCCTGAGACGGCTCCCCCTCACTCAGAGTGAAACCCCAGGTCTTTCTATGACAGACAAAGCTCTCCACAATGTGTCCTCCACTCTGTTTCTTCTGTCGGACATGGAGCTCCTTGCTGGTCCTTGGATATGTCAGGAATGCTTCTGCCTCAGGACCTTTACACATGATCTCCTGGCCCTATAGTGCCACCCCCCAATCACTCAGCCATCCCTGTCATTTCCTTCAAGTCTGCGTTCGAAAGTCACCCTTGCAGTGATGTCTTAGACTACAGTAGGTAAAGTTTCGCGTGCGCGCACACACACACACACACACACCGCACACTTTACACCCCCTTCCCCGCTCACTTTTTCTCCTTAGCTCCTATCACTGTCTGTATTGTGCTTATTGAGCTTGTCTGTCCCCCTTGGCAGGAAGCTTGCACGGTCAGTACCTGGCGCTGAGTGGGCGCTGCCACTCTGCCTTTGTGGATGCGCCTTGCCCTTGCCACTGTTCCCGGCTCCCACCCCCTCCCGGCTCGGCCTCCACTGTCATCTCACATCCATTCATGACACATGTTCCTTCTTTGCCGCTGCCAAATGCCTGCCTTGGCCCGCTCTGCTGGAGATGGATTTTTGTCCATTTGGTTCGCTGCTGTATTTGGGTCCAGGACAGTGCCAGCCCTGGCAGGCTCTCAGCACACCGTTCGCTGGGCACATGGCTGCGTCCCAGGGGCGAGAGGTGGATGAGGAAGAGGGCGGGGAGCAAATGAAGGGACTTTCCTTAAAGGCTGGAAATTTGTGGCCAGTGGGGGCGGAAGCAAAGGCATTCGAACATGGAAAAATCTACAGGAAATGCAACGAAAGTGTGAAAGACCGGAATAGGCTATTTTCGAAACATTAAGTAAGGGAGGACAGAAGTTGCAAATGGGCAGGCCACATGCAGTCTGCAGAGGTGTGTGTTCAGCCCACACAATGCTTAAAATAAATTTGGATTGGTTGCCAACACTGAAAAATCAGGAGTGTCCTATTTCTCTCGAAAAACTGGCGAAGACTTGCTGGGACTGGGCTGGCATGGGACTGGCCATCTGCCCCCGTCAGAGGGGGCATGTGTCCTCTGGACACTCGTGGCCCCCTCCAGCAGCTTCATTCATTCATCACCTGCCTGGTGCTTGGAGACATTCGATCTATGAGCTCCCTTTTGAATAGCAAAACGGATTTCTTCTTTCTTCAAACCTAACTGGGGAAATATAGTTGTTTGGGGCAAGCAGGGGTGTCGGGTGATTTGGGAACAGGCTGCCTGAGAGGCCAGGCCTCTGGGAGTGCGGGGTCCGGGGGGGGTGGGAGGGCTACATTATGGGAGTGGAACGTCCCCTCTTATATAGTGAGGGTTAGAAGGAGCGTTAGAGAGGAAGGCATTGAAAAGAGAAAATAAGCTTATGGGAGCGATAGCTTGCCGACAAGTCTGGCCTTTAAAAGGACTGACTCAGCGTATGAAAAAGTGACCAAGTGTTATGGGTTCCCCCGTGTCCCCAAAAAAAGGTATGTTGAAGTCCCAATTCGCAATACGTCAGAATTTGCAGATGTCATTAGGCGAGATGAGATGAGATGAGATCATGCTGGGGTTGGGTGGGCCCCAAATCCAACAGGACCGGTGTCCTTTTAAGAAGAGGACAAGCCACAGAGACACACACTCGGAAGATGGAGGCGGAGATGGGAGGGATATGGTGGTGGCAGTGGCGGGGGGGCACCGAGAACTGACAGCCCCCACCAGAAGCCAGGAGGAGGCAGGGAAGAATTGTCCCCTGGAGCCTTCAGAGGGGGCCGGGCCCTGCCGACACCTGCTGCAGACTTCTGGCCTTCGGCCCCGTGAGATGGTCCCGTGTTGTTGTTTGAGGCCAGTAAGGTAGTGACTTGCTGTGGGCTCCCACGTGGCAGGCAGAAAGGGGTTTCCATTGGGAAGGCAGTAGCTTACAGGATTCAAATGGGACCCGGTGGCCCTGGGGTGTTGTGCTTGTTTGTCTGCTAAATAAGAGGATGAAGAGCCTTTTGTTACTTGTATTGGCTTCGTGTTCCTGGTGACAGGCTGTGATGTGCGCACTTGTCACCTGTCACCCAGCTGGGCAAGCGGCCAGTTGAGTTTCCAGGGCTTCTCCTCGTGGGCACGTTCCCACCTCTGAAGTGTGGATCTGACCACCTTGCTTCGGCGAGCGGTTGCCTGATGTGTTTTACTTGGTCAGGATGATTTGCAGAGGTAAATGAACACACAAAGGCCTCCTTGTTGCTGGCTAACAAAATGAGAACGGGGTGACCCTAAGGCTTGAGGATTCTGTGTGAGGGCTTTTGTAAAGCTCCAAGGGTTGAAATATATATTTTGGGGTCAGAATTGTTCTCATGCTTTATCAACACGTATCCTGAGAGGAGGGCCGGGATCCTGGTCCCGCCTGCAGCACCTGCGTGCGGGAGACACCGGGCTGTCCATGCCCGTGGCCTGCAGGGGTAGGCCATCACAGGGTTGACCTGTCCTAGACCAGAGTGCAGGCCCATTTCCAGGAGGACTCTGTAGGCACAGGACATAGTGCCTGGCCCTCTGCAGCGGGCTTGCCATCACTTCTGGGCAGAGGACGTTGTTCATCTCAGCTGGGAGCGGATGTGGGGAATGGAGAGGCTACCTCACCCCCGCTCACCCATCATCAGTGTGGGAGCGGGAGGCCTGTGGCTTCCGAGAAATGGGTTGTAGCCATCTGTGGGCCCCTAAGATGTCAGCGTCCTAGTCCTTAGTCCCTGTGGCTGTTAATTTGAGTGGCAAGAGGGACTTTGCAGATTTGATTAAGTTAAGGGGCTTGAGATGGGGAGATTGTCCTGGGTTACCGGGGTGGGCCCAGTGTACTCATAAGGGCCCTTAAAAGAGGAAGGAGGGGGGTGCCTGGGTGGCTCAGTCGGTTAAGCGTCTGCCTTCGGCTCAGGTCATGATCCCAGGGTTCTGGGATCAAGTCCCGCATCGGGCTCCCTGCTCAGCGGGGAGTCTGCTTCTCCCTCTCCCTCTCCTTCTGCCCCTGCCCCCGCTCATTCTTTCTCTCAAATAAATAAATACAATTAGAAAAAAAAAAAAGAGGGAGGAGGGAAGCTGGAGAGGGGGAGAGAATGAGAAGTAAAGGTGGGAGCAGAGACCAGAGTGAGGCCATCACCGGCTCTGAAGGGGGCGGGCAGGGGCCAGGAGCCCAGGAACACAGCGGGGCTTGAGATGCTGAGAAATGCCAGGAAACAGGTTCTTTCCTAGAGCTTCCAGAGGAATGCAATCCTGCCAACACGGATTTTAACCCAGGAGAACCCATTTCGGAGACTCTGACCTGCACAGTTGTCAGCTCACGGATGCATGTTGTTTTGAGCCGGTGGGTCTGGTCGTGTGTTACCACAGCTGCAGCAGGGGGACAAGTGAATGACGCGCGGCTGCCCCTTCTCTGAACCGGTGGAGGGAGTGGGTGGGACGGCCCCCCAGTCCTTCTCATAGTTAGCTGTAGGTTACTATGCCCCCTTGCCCCCCCAACACCCTAATCAATCAGAACAATTCCTGTGAGGACTGGGGAGAAATGTGACTTAGTAAACTGGTTCTTAACCTCTTCAGGGTACTAACTCCTTTGCCATTCTGACAAAAACAGTGGCTCCAAGCGTCATAAAAAAATACAGCCAAAAATTTGCACACAGTTGTGGGTTGTACAGATCCCCCCAGACGCTCCCCCGTGAAGCTGCAGTGTCGGCTGGGCCTTCCTCTGTCGCCGCGGATTAAGAGCCCATCTGTCACAGTAAATCAGAGGCAGGGTGACTGCTCTCCTAGTGAATCTCCCTAATGCTGTCTGCCAGGCCCTCCTTTGAGGGTTCATCCGGGGTCCTATTTCGTTCTCTGCACATAGAAACATTCTTCAGAGGAACGGTCCGAGGGCCTGCTGCCGTCCATGCCAGTTGGGTCTCTGGTGCCCTTGAAGGTCAAGGGCTCCCGGCTCCAAAGTGTCCTTCCCTCTGTCAGGTCAGCTTTCTTCTCTTGCTTTCTGCTGAGGCCGTGTCTCGTCCCGGGCCCTGGTGGTAACTGCTGAAGACCCTGGGGGCTCTGCTCCTGCAGCTTGCCAGGGGGATGCCTCGGGCCCAGGCCCGGGGTACCCGGGACACAGGGGCCTTCTGCACAGCCTCCCCTGTACGTTAGTTAGCAGGTCCCTACGGGCAGGTGGGCACTCGCAGGACGAGCCTCCAGTGAACAATGTTTAGGAAGGAAGGTCCTCCCCACCGGGTAACAATGACTCACTCCTGCTTCTGAGTCTGCAGCCAGGGCTGGGCCTGAGGCACCTGCTCCTGGCTCGAACCTCAGCACCTCCTCTCCCTCACCCTCCCCAGCCCCCGGGGAGCTGTGGGCGCTTCCAGAGAGCAAGCTTTTTGTGGGAAGGTCTAAATCTCTGCAGCTCGGTGATTCGCTAGTCCTAAAACCTCCACATACATTACTTGAGGCCGAGCTATTGTCTCTGCTTTTCTTTTTCGAGTGGGTGGGGAGCCAGATGGGAAGCCTGCAGTGAATGAACCCCACAGGAGACCCAGGCTGATGTTGTCTGTGATGTGTTTCTATCTCAGCTCCGGAAGAGAAGGAGGTCATTAAAGGCCAGTATGGAAAACTCACGGACGCTTATGGCTGCTTGGGGGAGCTCAGGGTAAGATCTGGTAAGTACCCGTTCAGACAGATCAACTGTCAGAACGTCTGTTGCTGCTAGACTTCCTGGGCCAGAGCCTCTCCTGCATTTGTTTGGAAAGACTGCCGGATTTAGGCGTTTTATTTTAGCTGTTAGGATCTTCTAAAATGTCTCTTTATTTTGCTGAGCCTGCTCCTCCATGCTGGGGAGGTGGTCAAGGTGAACGCAGCCTGATTCTCACCTGTCTGTGCTGGCGGGAGGAGGAGAATGTGTGCGAAGGAAGCTCACCTTCCTTGTTTGCCCTCCAGGACCTGAGTTCTTCCAAAGTTGGGGGTGTGTCGGGGGGGTCCCCCCAGGGGGCTGTTTATCATTTACAAGGGATCTGTACTGTAGAAAGGGTGGATGCGGGAGGTCAGAAGCCCCCGGACTCACAGGGGTGGCTTGGAGAAGAGCCGGGACTGGGCGTGCATGTTGGCAAGGAGAGCCCCCAAGCACCTGCCATCGATCATCGGGGGCGGGGGGCATTTGAAAAATGGGCCGTGTGGTCTGACTTTGAAAAGGCTGAGAACTCACAGGAACAAGCCGGCATCCTTGCTCCTGTGAGACCCTCGGGGCTGAGCTGTCAGCTGGGCTGCTACTGGGGGTCGCAGCCTTTCCGGTGGGGCCCCTGTGTTGCCACCTCTGTGCCCCTGGACCTCACTTCAGGGTCTGTGGCCACCCTTTCCTTCCTCCTCTTTCCGCCACCACATTTATGTTGGCTGGACCCAGTGTCTCCAGGGACGTTTAGGGCCCAGGCCAGAGCACAGGTGACATCCCTCATTCTCAGTACTGCTCCACAGAATGAGAATGGCTGGGAGTGGACCAGATTCGGGCGCATGGCTTTTCCCCAAGCCGAGCATGTTAGGGCCGCACGTGTCCCACAGCAGCTGTGTCCCCAGCCTGAGGGTTTTTTTAGCCAACAGAATGGCACTGTTGTTTGTCACTACTCTTCTGGGGCTTTTCTTTCAGGGGATGGGGTTTCCTGAACTCTGATGCTGATCATTTTCAAATAATGTGTAGGAAAAGCATTCAGTAGCCACATGACAACATGCATGCATTCAGTGTCTGTTTTGTGTCCGGGGCTAGCTATGCAGTAATTTATTTAATCCTAAAAATAAGCCAATATGATACTGTGTCTTTCCCACTGCTCCTAGTAACGGAAACAGGCTCAGAGGGGTAAAGTTATTGCCTCGGGGAAGAAGAGTAGCTAGGATTCAAACCCAGACTGAGCTGCCTCCGTACACTTGCTTTTTCCCTGAAAACATGCTGCCTGCCACGGTTTTCTGTGGGACTTTTCCCCACAGTGATTTTAACGAGGTTACAAAAATTTCCTGTGGCCCTTGCCTCCGTGGCGATGATGTGAGGAAGCCAGCTAACCTTCCACAGTGCGTACTCTGTGCCAGGCACTGTTTTAACATGGTAACTCGGGTCTCCCAACACGAGAGGTGGGTGCCTGTTCCTGTCCTGCTTTCCCCACACAGAGAAGCTCAGAAAACTTAAGTGCTGTATTTTGTCTATTCTGTGACTTTTTTTTACATTGCAGTGTCTTGGCTCTTAGGATGTGTTACCACTGTTGACATCTTACGGTTATAACCGGCGATGGTTTTCTGCCACATGAATCAGTGATCTGTTTTGCATCTGACTGAGACCTGGATTTAGCGCAGGGACACAGCTTGGCCAAGGTCAGGCAGTTCTCAAGGGGGTAACCTGGGGTTGTTGTCAACCACTGGGCTGTTCTGTCTTGAAAGGGGGCAGAAAAGGTTGAGCTTCCAAGGACAGGGAGAGCAGTACCTTTCCATCATCCCAGAGGAAAGTGTCTTTTCCCTGGACTATGATCTGAGGTTGGCTACGGGGAGTTGCTCTTAACAGCTCCCCAGTCTGAATCCTAGCTACACTTCTGACTTTAACCCTGAGAAATATTGTCAGAGTGGGCCCAGGTGGCTGTGGGGCATCTGGCCAGGGTCAGGGCAGGCTTCCGTGGAATCACCCCAGGGCAGGATGTGGAGAGGTGACCACCTGCTGGGGAGCTGTCCCCCTCCCCCCCCACTCCCCCACCCCCACCACCCGACCCCGGGGCAAGGCCCTGCTCCCTTCCTGCAGCCAGTGCCACCCACCCACCCCTCCCCCGAGGAGTGAGCACACACAGCCTCTGGGGGCTGCAAGCAAGCAGGCATGGCCCTGGTGTGGAGGGCCGTCAGGTCCCCAGCCCCCATTTCTCCCATCCTCTGAGTACCCCCAGCCCTGCCTGCCAGAGTAGAGTCGCCCTCCAGGGGGGGCTGCCATAACTCTTCCCGAGGGGGTGAGGATGACTTCGAGTTTTGGAATGTCAGGATTCTTTGGCCTGTTTTCAACACATTCCTGAAAGAGTCCTAGGGTATATGAAGGATGGATGGAAGGGTTGGGCCTTATCGTCCAGTTTTTTAAATCCCCTTTGGTTACATGAAGGAGTACGTGGTTTTAACTTGATTTTCTTTTCCTGCTGCAAGTTCCCGGCCCAGAGCTATCGTGTTTTCTCCTCAGCTTTTGAGGGTGTTGGGCAGTGCAGAGTGAAAAACCAGTTGGGGATGGCCCTCCCTTTTGACTTTGTTAGGCTGAGGGTCTCTGTACAAAGAAAGAGACTTCCCCTTAGGCTTGTAACATGGGGCAAGTTGTTGAATTTCTTTTTTGTTTTTTCCTTTAATTTTTTATTGTTATGTTAATCACCATACATTACATCATTAGTTTTTGATGTAATGTTCCATGATTCATTGTTTGTGCATAACACCCAGTGCTCCACGCAGAACGTGCCCTCCTTAATACCCATCACCAGGCTAACCCATACCCCCACCCCCCTCCCCTCTAGAACCCTCAGTTTGTTTTTCAGAGTCCATCGTCTCTCATGGTTCGTCTCCCCCTCTGATTTACCCCCCTTCATTCTTCCCCTCCTGCTATCTTCTTCTTTTTTTTTTCTTAACATATATTGCATTATTTGTTTCAGAGGTACAGATCCGTGATTCATCAGTCTTGCACAATTCACAGCGCTCACCATAGCACATACCCTCCCCAATGTCTATCACCCAGCCACCCCATCCCTCCCACCCCCCACCACTCCAGCAACCCTCAGTTTGTTTCCTGAGATTAAGAATTCCTCACATCTGTGAGGTCATATGATACAAGTCTTTCTCTGATTGACTTATTTCACTCAGCATAACACCCTCCAGTTCCATCCACGTCGCTGCAAATGGCAAGATCTCATTCCTTTTGATGGCTGCATAATATTCCATTGTGTATATACACCACATCTTCTTTATCCATTCATCTGTCGATGGACATCTTGGCTCTTTCCACAGTTGCAAGTTGTTGAATTTCAATCTACCTAAGTGAAGATAGCTTTTTCATGTTAGAAATTAAGAAACGTGCACAAAAGTTACATAAAAGCTTTATCTCATGTTCCTAGGTTTTCATAAAGACCATAAGTCCCTCCTTCCTCCCTGAAATGCCAGCAGGAAGGGGGTGGAGCCCCCACAATTAGCCGGGGAGTCGGGCTTCCTGATGCACACATGATACAAAGCATAGAAAGTGAGAGTATAGCGGTCGAGAGGATTTATCGCAACGATTACAGGAATTTAACTCCCTTTTAACCTAAGCTCTCACGGCCTCCCTGTTTCATAGCCTCAAGGATTGAACACAGTGAGGTCTATAATGAATCGTGTCTTCTGGAGTTGTGTAGTGCGCAGCCTGTGAAACTGTACAGGACAGCCCTCCTAGATTCTAGTTCTAGCTTCACAACAGACTCACTTTCTATATTATTAATCTCTCTAGGGCTGTATTCCCACCTGCAAAACCAGGAAAGCTGCCTCACATCTATATTACAAAATCCCTAAGAGATTTATAGGGGAGAATAAACCTGGTCTGAACATGGGTACCGAGGGGGAGGGGGCTGGCCTGCAGAGGGGTCCCTCTGGGAGAAGGAGGTGTGGGGTAGGGGTCAGGGCACTGAGTCCTGGTGGGTGGTTAATCTGCACAGGCTAGCGGAGGGCTCACTGCTGGGCAGTCACTACAAAATGAAAAGTCTCTGGAGAGAGAAATGTGATCGTCTTTAGTCCTGAGATTCGGGGTATGCAGTGTTCCCTAGAAGGTCTTGAAATGATGTGGCCTTCATCAGTCTTAGGATCATTTATGACCTACGTCCAGTGGTGTGCTGGTAAATATTGGACATCCAGCTCTCTGGGGGCAACACAGCCCTGATATGAAGCATCTGCCGGTTTCCATGGTGTAGCTAACCCACCCCTGGCGGATTTCAGGCTACCGCTCAGAGTTGGGGACAGATGGGCACAGCTGGCTCCCATGAGCCTGTGTAAAGCTGCCACTTCCACGTTCTAGAAAGGGAAGGTGAAAGATCCTTGAAACTGCGCCACTTGGGTGCAGGGTATTTAGAACTCCGAGCTGGCTGGTATGGGGCCCCTCCACTCCGTGGGTGGGTTAGCCTAGAGCTCCTGAGTCCTGTGTCTACGGCATTAAAGTATGAGAGCGTCCTGTACAGGCAGTATCGAGAAGGGGGTCTTTAGGCAGCGCAGCATTGAGATTGGCATGAACCTGGCCAGGGGGCGATCTCCCAAGGCTGAGCCAACAGAGAAGTGCCAGCGCAGGGGAAGCAGGAGTCCCAGCAGCCAGAACACACCCAGCATTGTCCCCGCACAAACGGCATTGTGTGTGCGCGTGACTCACGGTGCTCCTAGCGCCAGCCCTGTCCAGCCAGATGACAAACGGCCACAGCGTGACAAGACACGGACCCCGTTGCTGCAGGGCTCGGGGGCTTGGGGGCAGCTGGGCGTCGGAGTTGGGTTTTGAAGGTAGCCCTCTCGAGGGAGAGAATTTCTAAATCGACATTGAGGTCTCCGAGGTTGTTGTGTGCGGGGTAAAATAGAAGCGAAAAACTTAACCACTGTAACCAATTTAAAGTGGACAGTTGCGTAGCATTAAGGACATTTACATTGTTGTACAACCATCCCCACCATCTGTCTCTAGAACTCTTTTTATCTTCCCAAACTGAAACCCCGGCCCCACTAAACAATACATATTGGGGTGGTCGCCTCCCATTTCCCCACCCTGCCTGCTCAGGCTGCGGGACTGGTCTGCAGCCTGAGCCTCCTGTCCTCTGCAGTGGTGTATGTGTCACTGTGTGTGTGTGATCCCTTCCCGGTCTGGTGTGTCTTTGGGCCTGTGACCTGTTGCTTGTCCTCCCTGTCACCTCCCCTAACTGCGGCTAGCGACCTCTGACCCAGGCGTGCTCTTGCTTTGGCCAGAGCCCTGGAACCAGAGCTCCTCCGAGCTGGAAGGAACACAGAGGCCGTCTGGCGCATTGTTCTCTGAGGCCCAGAGAGGGTAGGAGACTGGCCAGAGGCCCCACAGGCGGGTAGAGGTGTGCAGAGGCCAGAGCCTCAGCTGCTGAAGCCAAAGCAAGTTTGAGTTTTGTCTTCCCCTTGCTAGAAGATCCTTTCTGGTTTTAAGCCCCTGGACTCAGCCTTGACTAATGACTTCTGGGACCCCACCCCAGGCCTGGTATTCTTGGCTGGGAGGAAACTGATCCTGCCTTACTAAAAACAAAGCCTAGGTCTTGTGTGCAAGGTGAGCGCCCGAGGGGACATCCTCCACACCTGGGGCAGGTGAGTCCCCCCAGCCCCACTATTAGCCCCTAGAGACACCTTCTGACAGGTAGGCCAGGGGGCAGTGACCCCCCGCCCCCACCCCACAATCTGGTGCTGGACTTGAATCAGGACGCTTTCCTTAAAATCTGTAGTACGTGGAGCGCATCCAAGGTTGCTAGACAAGATTGGGGAGGGGGAGTCATGCCAGGACTGGAGTGACAGGAAGCCACGCGCCAGGCTGTGGAGGGCCGGGTCCCCTTCCCGGAGAGGCCGTGGCCCGGCACAGTTCCTCTGAGGTCACAGAGACTGTCCACGGTACACGGACTTGGTCAGTTCTGAGGAGAACAGTTCCTAGGTCCTCACCTCCTTGGTTTGCCTAAGAATGTCCCTGTGACGAGGGGTCGTTTCTCATTCTCTTCCATCCCCTTCCACCTGACCTTCTCCTGCCTCCAGAATCGTACCATGGTGTGTGGCTCTGGGAGGCAGATACCTACAGATGCCAAACAGAGGGCTGGTTCCCCCTACTGTTGTTGGCTCTGGTGAGGCAGCATGTCACCTCGGTGCCTGGGTGACATTTGGTTTAACAAGTCAGGGGACAGCCAGCGGTTGGCTTTTGACAAAACCGGAGGAGAATGTCAGTGGGCTATCAGCTGACGGCACTAATGGTAATTTGATGGATAGATTTTGTGATTTTTTTTTTTAACAGGTAACTCAGAAGGACGTTGAAGAGTGATTGGGCAACATTTCTATAATGAAGCCCTTTCTGTTCCCATCGATCTACGAATGTGAACAAGGTTTCTTAGTGTTCACATCTGTAAAAATGAAAAACAGAACTAGACTTGGTACAGGATCTAGTTTCATTCCATTAACAAATAGTACTTATCTGTGGATATATGAACCAGAGGTCCCATCCACCTTCCCAACAAATCTTTATATGTTTTATGTTAAATTACCGTTTAGCAAAGCATTGTGTTTATAGTGTTTGACCAATTTTGTACTAAAAATCATTGCAATGATAAGTCTTTTAAACACTTTGAGCGTTAGGATCAAACTGCTGCACAGTAGGATCAAGAGACACAGAAGCACAAAATATGTGACATTAGGATGAAATTCTGGGGGGATGTGGAATGGAAATATGAGGAAAATCCCATCTGTTAAAGAAGAACTTATTCATGCATTCCTTGATCAAACCAGAGTCTAGATTCTACTGGATCCTGGTAAAGAGGCCCACGACAGTTTTATTTTTACACGTCAATATTTAGGATATTTTACACGTCACTATGTTATTCACAACCGTTTAAACTAATGATGAAAGCTCGTGGCGTCAGATGAGCAAGTGGTACGTTAGTCAGCCACACCCCTAGTGAGACAGTAAGCCAGTGGGACTGGAGACCGCCAGACCTGGGGGCCCGAGGGAGCCGGGGAGGGGACACCCACCACCTTTGCACTGTGGGTCCAACACAGACTAGCCGCGCACTTGGGCAGATGATTCAGCTGCCCCCCCCCCCCCCCCCGGGGACAGTCCCTCGTGTGTGAAATGGCAGCCTCGTCAGGCACGTGGCCCATCCTTCAGCGAGGAGCTAGGTAAAGAGTGCTGGCTCTGGAAGCAGACTTGGCCTGAGTAACTTGCCCAGGCGCTAGAGCCCGAAAGTGGGTTCAAATCCCAGCTCCCCCGCTGGGTCACCTTGGGCAGGCTTCTTAACCTCTCTGTCCCTCCAGCTGCCTCTCTGTGAAATGGAGCTAAGAGTGGTACCCGCCCCCCTTCCATGGGCTTGTTGAGAGGAAGGTCACGGAACAGTGTCTGGTGCCCTGGAAGCACCAGGACCTGAGAGTCCATTGTCATCAAAGTGCTTGGTTCCAGTGCCCTCCTATGGTGGCTTTTTAAAAATTTACCTGTGCCTTCCCCTGAGCCCCTCGTCCCAGGACTCAGGAGCTCCAATTCTCATTTATTTTAAAAGTGTTTTCATGCCTGCTGCAGCCGCCCCTCCTGAGCCTCCCCCGGGCCACTGCCCTGCACAGGAAATGCCTACTGTCTTCAGAGCCGCCCGGGACTCTTGCCAGGGACTCAGTCCCCCCCACGCAGGGGCTGTTGAGGAAGTGCTGCTCGAAATCCACTCCACAACTTGGGTGGAGAGACTTAGTTTTCCACACTTCTCCTTGAGCCCACTCCGTATAGAATCCCCTCTGGGGCTCGCAGCCTAGCCCGCAGGGGCTGTCCCCTGGCCACGCCTCTGACTGTTCTTGAACTCCGCTTTCCCTGCTCTGAGCACATTGACAGAGGCAGAGGGGATGCCTGGGCATTGGTTCGAGCACAGGCTATGGGCATGTTTGTGTTTGTGAGGCTATAATTCGGGGACATCAAGCCCACACAAACCCTACCTGTCTTCCAGAAATGACACTTACCCTGTTTAAGAAACTCAGCCCCCCGACACTGATCACTGTCCACAGCATAACTGTCTTATTCTTTAAAGTAGTTGCATTAGTTTCCTGATAATCTGCCTGGGGAGGTGGGATATGAGCCAATATGGTCGCCTTGTTGGTTCCCCCCCACCCAACAGGATTGGTAGGATTAGTGACCTAGTTATTGGATGAAAGCATCTTTAAGAAAAACCCAGACGTGTCCTGGCCCCGAGCAGCACCCTTCTTCTTATCAAGTGTGAGGAGGGAGTGGGGGGGGACACAATGAGCCCTAGGAACTTAAGGGTCTTTTATCAGAGTGTCTAAAATGTTGGCCACCATGGCTCCAAATAATGACCTCTGACCATTGGGAATGGATCTTGCTGGGAGCAGGTCCTTTAAAGCTCAGCACGGTGGGAAGAATATCCTCTGGACCAGAACCACGCCAGCTCCTGAAGGCCAGTTGGTCCCCCCAGTGATCTCTCAGGCCCTCTCCTGAAACAGAGTAGGGGCACCATCTCTGCTGTCCCCACAGCAGAGCCTCGCCATGCACCCCTGACTCCCACAGCATGTGCTTGTCAGCACCTGTGCAGTGCGGGGTGCGGAAGAGAAGGCAGCCCCGGACGGTGTGGTGGGGTCCCCGGAGGGGTTGCCTCATTCTTCTGGCAACCAGGTGGGCAGTGGTAGGGGTAATCATTTCGTGGGGAGTGGGGGGCTCAGGTAGGAAGTATTCCTCAAACATCTGCCATGTGCAGTGCTGTGATGGAACAATGAAGCAGAGTCCTGCCCTAAGAGACCCCCAATCTACTGGGGGACCCAGATGGGAACGAGGTTGTTAGCTTTGCGTCTATGAGGGCTAACGGGGATGCCGTTGGCCTGTAGGAGGGGCACATAGCAATGTCTTGGGAGAGCAGGGCAGGCTCCCCTAGAGGAGTTCTCCTGGAAAGGAGGGACTGAGCTACGGTGGCCCTGATGAACACTGGGAAGGCTCGTGGCTCTTCTGGAGGGTGGAGGCAGGGAAGGTGAGTGGGGAAGGCCTTGATGGACAGATGATGGTGGGGCGTCCCGGGCAGAGACAACATCTTGGGCAAAGGCCCAGGGGTGTGAGGGCATATGGCGGATGTGAGGAGCCACAGAGGACAGCCCTTGAGAGCTGCTGGACCATGGGTGTCCATAGGTGGGGAGGGATGGGGGTGGTCGGCCTGGGAGGAGTTCCCCTTCCAGTCCTGGGGGAGGTGGGAGCTGTGGGAGGATTTAAGCAGAGAGGGAGGTCTTCCAGCAGGCAACTTCGAGAGGTTACTCTGGTGGCTGAGCTTGGAGGACTGACCCCACTGGGGGGCCTTGAGCAAGGTGGTGCCTGAGGCTTCATGAAGAGGGTGGATTTGCAAGGCTTTGGGTGGCAGATAGGGGGAGGCTATAGGGCCGGGAAGGCTCCAGGCCAGTGACCCTCAGGCTGGTGGGCAGCAGGATGGCCTGGCTGCTTGTTATAGCACAGGTGGTTGGCCCCTGGCCCCGCGGTCTGGATGGGACCAAAAATTCGCAGTTCCAGTGGGCTCCCAGGTGGTGATGCTGCTGCTGATCAGAGGCCACCCTCGGAGAACCAGGCACTGGGCTTCAGGCTCAGGTGACAGATTCCTGGGGCTGCGAGGGAGCGAACACAGCCACGTGGTTGCAGTGGCATTGTGGGCGCCTGTCCTCCGCTCGGCTCTGAGCTGCTCCAGCTCCGTGTGGTGCTCAGCCCCCTTGTCTGTTTCCCTTCCAGGTGGCGCTTCCCTGAGCTTCCTGGTTCTAGTGACAGGCTGCACGTCCGTGGGCAGAATTCCAGAGGCTGAAATCTACAAAATCACCGCCACAGACTTTTACCCCCTACAGGAGGAGGCCAAGGAGGAGGACCGCCTCACAGCCTTGAGGAAGATCCTCAACTCAGGGGTCTTCTACTTCTCGTGGCCCAGTGATGGGTCCAGCTTCGACCTCACCGTCCGGGCACAGAAGCAGGGCCGTGACAGCTACGAGTGGGGGAGCTCCTTCTTTTGGTGAGGGCCCTGGGTCATCTCCTGCCGCCCCGCCCCCACATCCCCGTCCCCCTTCGGTCACATGGAGGGCGGGCTCTGATCGGCACCTGTGTCCTTGTTCTCTGCTTTACATCATCCGCAGGGTCCTGGGGTACCTCTGAGAGCCCAGTTGCTCTCAACACAGTGAGAAGAAAGCTAACCCCCCATCCCCTCTCTGGGCTCAGAGAAGGTGTTCAAAGTGGTCTAATGTAGATTTAGAAAAGAAACTCTCTAGAAGTAAAGAGCATGAGAGCCAGCATCCACCGGGTACTCCCTAAGTGCCGGGCCGTGCTCAGTGTTCCTGTGGCCCTCTCAGCGACCCTGGTTGCCCTCTGGTGCACACACATTTACTACTGCTTATATACGGTGCTCATGTTCTAATAAGTTCCCTGCTGGTAATAACTCAGAATCCTCATAGTAACCTATGAGGTAGGGTCTGTTTGTTATGCCCATTTTACAGATAAGGAGACTGAGGCTTGAACAAGTGAGGGAATTCGAACCCAGGCATTCTGGCTCCAGATCCTGTACTGTTAATCACCAAGCCAAACCACCTCCTCCAACAATGAGGAAACTGAGTCAGCCTGCCAAGGTGACATGTAGTCATGTGATAAGGCGTATCCTGAAGCCCAGACCAAGGTGCCTGGATTTCTGTATGGTGAGGGTTGTTCAGGTGCTCCTTCATGGACACAGCTAGGTGTGGATGACTGTATAAATGTGTAAATTATCTACGGCTCTTTCTGGACGCTGGGGGTCATGACCCTGGCAAATCCTGTTGGGGAGGGGTGGTGCAGTGATTTACATTGACGGGTGCCAGGCCTGGGTTGTCAACTGCTGTACCCTTCAGATTTGCCGGGAGACGTGTAAGAAGTGAGTCAAGCCGACATGATGAAAATCGTGCCATAGAAATTGCTCCAGTTTGCCTCATATACTGAATGTTCTTAGAATTCCAGTGCTGGCCCTTTGGAGCCACCCGTTTTCCAGCCCTAAGACTGGGTTGGTGAGGCTTATTTACATCCTTTATTTATGCCTGCCTCCCTCCCTCCCTGTGCCCAAACCCAGAAACTCGTAGGTCTCCTTCACTGCATAAATGTTTTTTTCCTTGGTGCTTTGGGCCCCCCACCCCTGCCGGACTTCTGTTTGGAGAAAGAGGCTTCACCATATCCTGGCATGCGCCTCGGCATTCCCTACCCCCAGGCCCTCTTGGACCCTCTGTTGAGTTCTTGGGGCAGTAATGTGCTCAAGCTTGAAAACACCCGTGAATCTCCTGCTGATCTTGTTCAAATGCAGATTCTGACTCAGCCGGTCTGGGCCGGGGGGCCAGACTCAGCATTTCCAGCCAGGTGACCACGGTGGCTCCTGCCCTGGGGTTTGAGGACCCCTCTCTGAGAAACAGGTCCAGGGGATGGTGTTTCTGTGAATCACTAAGTCCATTTCGCAGGGACGAGCTGGTGCCCCTGAAGTCCACTGAAGTTAGGGAGGCAAGGGCTGTGGATTCTGAGCGATATCTGTGCTAAGGCCACGGAGCAGGGACTGGCGGGCAAGGAGAGGTCTCAGAGGCCGTGACATTCCTTGGCAACATCTTAGGACGGTAGGGGATGCCTGGGGAACTGGGTGGCCTTTGTGACTGCTTTTGTCAGGCTTTCTTCTGTGAGCTGTGGGGCTGGAGACCTGGGGCCCCCAGAGAGCAGCAGGAAGGGTGCAGACGACAAGGTGGAGGCTGAGGGGGGCTGGGGAAGGGGCAAGCCCCAGGTGGACGCCAGACTGTATCTTGAGCTGAGAGGAAGCAGCAGTCTGGAGGGTGTCAGGCCGCTGGGTGTGGTGTTCGGGCGGCGCCCACAGAACCGACCACAACTGAGTCAGCCCCGACTGAGTGGTCACGGGCTTGGTTGCTAAAGCCATTCGGGGGTGCCGCGTTCCAGGTCTGGACCCACATCTGGAGTCAGATGGGGTCAACACGGAATGTGGCTGGTGAATGGGGGGGTGTAGGGCGGTGTGAAGTTGTTTTTCCGGGCTGCTGATGGACCCCGCCGAGAATTGCTTCCCAGTGGAATGCGAGCCTGGGAGGAAACTCACAGTGGTTTTCCTTTATAGATCTGGGTCCCTTCCTCCGAGGAGAAGAGCTGTCCTCCTATAGCACGCCAGGCCAGTGTGGCTACAAACAGGGATTCTGAGTCGACTGTTTGGCAACAGGCTCCTTTGCCTGATCCCTGGTGACTGATGGCGGCCATAGCTGTGTGGCTGGGAGACTGGAATATTACGGAGGCTTTGCCTTGATGCCATATGCAGATTTAATTTGTTACTAAAGCTGGTTCATCATCTGAATTTTGGAGAGTGATTCAGAAGAGGAAAACGCGTTTTTGTAAAGGAGTGCCCTGTGATCATCATCTTTCAGGCAGACAAGCACAGTGGTTAGGAAAGCTCAGAAGGGGGCCCCACGTGGCCGCTCCCAGGGGGGTGGGGTTCCTCAGCATCGGTCGGGGAGGCTGGCCTGAGACCTTGCGAGCCTTGCTGCTTGGAGAAGCCCCCTGAGACATCAGGGCTCGCAGGGTACTTCTGAAGAAATGAGAGAAGGCTGCTATCTCCGAGGAAGGCTCTAGGGCAGGAACAGTGCTGCCTTTTTTAAACAAATAGGGCATTGTGATCTAGATTTGCTTAATACCCTGTGGGAGAGAGCCTTTTGGGAAGGTTCCTGCCTCCCTGGGAGTGTCCGAGGGGCCCTGGAAGGTGCTGTGCGGGTCCCCTGAGCACCCTGAATGGAGCTTGGCCTGTAGTGTCAGGGGTCCTGGCACCCCTCCGAGGCCTCCCTTCTCAGAGTGGCTGCTGGGGCCGAGTAAGATCGAGTGGGTGTTGGGGAAGCTGAGAGAGCAAGGGGAGGTGGTGGCCAGCACAGGTGTGGCGGTACTTGTGGGGCCTTCAGTGAGGGAGGAGGTAGGCCTGGGGCTGCTGGGGCCAGTAAAGAGCCCAGGCTCCCAGCCCTTGCCGCTTACAGGCTCCCAGACCTTGGGCAAGTCCTTCACTTCCCTGTGCCTCAGTTTCTTTATCTGTAAGATGGGCTGAATGATAGATAATACCTTTCACATAGGGCCTTTGGAGGATGGAGTTAATCCATCCCAAAGCACTTAAGAGTGGTGCCCGGTGCACCTGATAAATGTTGGCTTTTATCCCCATCCTTACCATCATGGACACCAGGGGTCCCCGAGCCCCAGAACAATCCACCAGATATGGAGACGAAATCCTGGAACTTTCATCGCTCTTATTTTAGTCTCATCCTTTTTATAAAAAATATTTTATTTGAGAGAGAGTACAAGCAGGGGGGAGGGGCAGAGGGAGAAGCAGACTCCCCGCTGAGCAGGGAGCCCAGCGCAGGCTGGATCCCAGGACCCCGGGATCCGACCTGAGCCAAAGGCAGACACGGAACTGACTGAGCCACCCAGGTGCCCCTTGTCTCATCTTTTTTTCTTTATTTTGGATTGCTTCCTAGTGCTCTCATGGGGATAGGCTATACTTCATGGGATATGTATGTCATTTAAATAAGCATGCATATATTTAATGATTATTTTTATCATTTATTATTTAATTACAAAACCTATGATTAAATTTTTTACTGATGGGATTTCTGATTTAAAAATGTGGAGGCCAGGGTTTTAAAGGGAGGCTCCTCCCATGTTCCCTGGAAGGTGGTGGTTGGCTCACACTCCCCGCCGGGCTTTCCATTCGCTGATCCTGACGTCCGCCGTGGTTTTGGGAAGGACGCCCCGGTTGATACTGCGCAGCCTCCACTGCCCTGCTGCTTGGAGCGCGGGGGGGAGGGGGCGTCACAGAAGCACGTGAACCTCCCGGCCTCTCATCCCCAGCACCGAGGCCACTGCAGGCGCCTTCCCCACACCCCCCGCCCGCGCCGTGCCCCTGCCCCTCCCGACTCGCTTGGGCGCAGTGGTACCTGGAGGATGCGCTGTGACCCGAGCCGCTGTGGGGCTCCATTTTGCAGGAACCAGCTGCTGCACGTGCCCCTGAGGCAGCACCAGGTGAGCTGCTGCGACTGGCTGCTGAAGGTCATCTGCGGCGTGGTGTCCATACGCACGGTGTACGCCTCGCACAAGCAGGCCAAGGCCTGCCTCATCTCCCGCATCAGCTGCGAGCGCGCCGGCGCTCGCTTCCACACCCGCGGCGTGAACGACGATGGCCATGTGTCCAACTTCGTGGAGACTGAACAGGTCAGTGCCGGGCCCGGTCGGTGGCGCCTGGTGGTTCGGAGGGGACACGGCCGTGCACGGGCGTTTCCGTTTGGGGCAGAAGAGGTCCAGGCATATTGGAGGTCGTTTCTGGTGATCGTGGCTTCTCCCTCTGATTAGAGAACAGAGTCATTGGGGCTCTGCCTGCAAATGTGGCTTCCAGTTGGCCTGGGCTGGCTGATACACTTTTGCTGGGGTAATACTGCTTCCCCGAGGTACTTTCAGCTAAAAGGAAGCAGGAGTTTTTGCTATGGTCATAAAGGGTGATAGTTATTTCAGAGGGCAGGCGATGGCTGAACCAGCAGGGTTGGCATATCTTCTTAAGACAAAAAGTAGATCAGTAAAGCAAGGATGAGAGGAGAAACCATTTTTCATTCTAAATCAACCGGAGCATGTCTTAGCACCTGGGAGTCGCGAAATCTGCGTGTTCAGCGGCACTTGCTTTCAGCTTCCATGAATATAACCATCTGCTTAATCTCTCATTGATTTTTTTCTCCCCCTAAATTCTGTTCTCATTCCAGCATCCCCCAGAGATGCTGTCTTACATTGGTTTTTTTTCTCTCTAGTTGCAAATCTGTAGGCTAAGGCCACCTTGTAGACTGACAGGTGGAATAAATTATAAGAAAGGCAAACCCCATGAAAGGCATGGGTGCCACGTGGCTGTGGGTGTCACGCTGCAAACAGCCTGTTTATTTAGCCTCGATGTGGCTTTGCATCCCCTCCTTCTTGCAGCCGAGAGGGGTGTTTTCTACCAGCACGCGAGCCAGTTTAATTCAGCGCAGATCTGAGCACCTGCTTTCTGTGTGTGAGCTGCCCCCTGCTTGGGCTTAAGGTGAGGAGGTCCTCTTGGAGTCAGATGCTGAGGAGGAGGACTTTGGAACGGGAGCTTTCCGATGAGCCGCATCTTGCCTCTGATGGCTGTTCATTCTGTCTGCTCTCCTGGATATAAATAATATCTGGCTAAAAATGTCAGAGAAAATGTGGCCCCGAGATTGGAGGACATTTTCTTTTTTTTGCTCATGTCCGAGTGATGGAAAGTACTTCTTTTCGTTTGCACGGCCCCGCCTGCATTACCGCATCCCATCCGGATGCTTATCCTTGTGTGATGAGCCTTTGAATCAGTGCCCTCAACAGATCGTTATTGTTTATCGCCTGCCAGGGGCTGAGCGCTGTGCCAGGAACTGGGGGCCAGAGGTGCTAAGCGTATTTGTACAAATCAAAATGCCCATGCCCCTGAACCTGGTAACTGAAGCGGATGGAAGAGGTTTTCATCTGCGGCACTGGAGCGTGGCCCCTGCCTTGCTCTCCATCCGGCTTTTGGGTAGATAGTCCCTTACTTACTCTTCTTGTTTGGTGCTTCCCAGAGTTGTGAGTTTCAACCATATTTTTTAAAAATTGGGGTCTCATCTATTGTATCCTTGTCAAGTAAGTCATTGGAAAAGCGCCTGCCCTCCCTCTCACTGTTGTTCCTGAGAGAGGGGCATTTTAACACTGCAAATCTGCTGTAACAAAGTGCCGCAGACAGGGCTTAAAACAACTGTTTTTTATTGTCTCACGGTTCTGGAGGCCAAAGGTCCAAACTCGGGTGTTGACAGGACCATGCTCCCTTTGAAGCCCCTAGAGGAGGATCCTTCCTGCCTCTTCCAGCTTTGGGGGCCCCCTTGTGGCAGCCCTCCCATCTCTGCCTCACCTCCATGTGGTGGCCCTCTCCCCTTTAACGAGGAGACCCCACCCTGTCCAGTGTGTCCCATCTTAACCGCATCTCCAAATAAGGTCACATTCTGAGGTGCTGGGGATTAGGATTTCAACATATCTTTTTGGGGGACACAGTTGAACCCATAAAGACATAATTCAGTGTTAAGGGACAGTGCTTTAAATGCAGTACATTTAGCTTTATAAAAAATCTCGATACTGTGCTTGCTTTTCTCATTTTTCTACAGACTAGGGCTGGGGACTTTGCTCTGGTTATTTCATCTATGTGGGCCTGGTGACTGGCATTTGTCCCATGCACCCAACTGCTCGGGCTCAGAGACAGGGACCTTGTTTCCTCATGGCCGGCCCAGCAAGGCCTCAGAGACACCACCCGCCTGCCGTCTGGCTCCTGGAGCCTGCAGCCCCGTGCTATTTAAATGGCCTCCACCTGCCTCCCTTCTCAAGATCGGGGAGGGATTTCCTGGTTCACGCAGCCTTTGCGGTCTTCCTAGTTCGTGCTTTCTCTCCCTTTTCCTCTTCTGGACTCTGGATCAGACCGAGGTTTTCTGGATGAAACCCTCAGCCCAACCTTGCTCTGGAAGCATCAGACAAGCCAACAAGCAGCCGGACACCCCCATCTGCTGTTCCCCCAGAGATGGGCGGTGAATGTGGCCCTCATCCGGGATCAGCATGGCTCCTTGGGCCCATGGTGATTTTGTTTTTACCAGACATGTAACGGAGCAAGGGGGTCATGGTGGCCTTGCCCCCAAAGCAGTTCTCTGTGGGGCTACTCCCAACAGACCACATGCCCTCCCAGGAGGATTCATGCCTTCCGAGAGCCCTCAGACAGTGTGACCGCCATGGTGTGGGGCCGGGGGTGGGAGTGGCGGAGAAGGCCACCCCCAGGTACAGGGAGGAGTCAGTTCCAGAGCCGACTCCAGGTGTGTCCTCGTTGGCAACAGGGGAGCAGACTCTGAGCCCCCCAGCTGAGTGTGGTTGTGAGCCCGCCCAGGCAGGGAGGCAGCAGGAACAGGACAGGCCCCTTCACCGTCCCGGGAGTGCCCCCCAGTCGGTGCTCACGGACGCACACAGCACCACGTGGGGCCGCCGTGGGGGGGGGCAGGAGTGAAGGCGTGTGCTTCCGAGGAAAGCATCCAGCCGAGGGACACCCTGGCGGTGCCCTGGGAGCCAGCACAGCCCGGACGGGGGGTCAGCCACTTCCCAAAGAGGTGGCGTCTGCCGTAGGTGCGTCGTCCCCTTTCCTGAAGTGTTTTCAGAGGCAGGAGGAGCAGCCAAGGCTGAAGGAAAGAAGCTGCTCCCCAAGAGACAAGAATCTGATGTTGCTCCCGCTTGTCCAAGACAGCCATTTTCTCTGTCTCTGCAATCGTGAAATGATTTTGTTGACAGCGCTTTGTAGCAATAGAAGTGCTTAGGTTGATCTCAGTTGTTTGTTTTTAACACAAAAACCTTTTCCTAAGTGGAGTATATATGCAACCAGTGTTGCTGCCAAGCACACCTCTGCCTTCCTCCCTCCGCCACCTGCTGGTGAGGGGGCTTCTGGGTACGGGCGCCCGGGGAGGATGCGCAGCCTGCGGGCATCTGTGCGCTCGGGGGCAGCTTGGCAGGGGGAGCTGCACAGTAACCGTCCGGGAAACCTGCTGAAACCCCATTGAAGTTGGCCCATCAGGGGCTGCGGGGATGTGATGGGGGCCTGGAGAAGTCACCCCCGGGAGCCCGCATGGTCACCCCTGGGAGCCTGCCTGGCGTTTGTGGAACCGAGACTGTCCGGCCTGGGAAAGGATGGTGCTCTGGGGTAGCGTGCACCTGCCTGCCACCTTGGTGTCTTTGCTCAGGGTGACGGCAGAGTGCGCATTGCTTGCTGAGGCCTTCGAATCAAAGTGATGCCGTTTGCAGAGTGGGGTTGATTCGTTCCGGTAGCATGGTGTTGCCTGCTTTGTGACCCGGCTGTGGAAGAAGGGCAGGCTTTGGAACGTGGGCTCCTCACCAGAGAGTGGCAGACAGCATCTTGGAGGAAAGTGGGTGCTGAGCTGCAGCAGGAAGGGGTCTCAGCTGGGTCTGCTTGGCTCCTCTGGGCAGTCGCCCGTGGATCCCAGGCCCCTGCTGCAGAAGTGAGGCTCTTCAGACCCCAGCCTGTGGCCATGTGGGAGTGGGAATCCTTCACTAAATGCTTGAATGCGGCTGACGAATTGTGCCGTGCCCCTTTGCAAATGGTGGGACTAGACAGAGAGCAGGTGGGTCCCCTGAGGCGGGGTCCTTCCTAAATTAAATGTTCAGGGAGCCAGAAGAGGGAGATGCTTTCAGCACCACCCACTCTGCCTTGCTTTAACATTTTTCCTAAGAGGAATGAACAGGCTTTCTCCTCCAAGGCAGGCTGTGTGTGTGTGCACGTGTGTGTGCACGTGCAGCGTGTAAGTGTGCATGTTTGGGGGGGAGGGTTCGTGTGTGTGCACGCACAGGTGTGTGCGTTGATGTGCGGTGTGGGGGGTGTTTTGTGTGTGTGGCGCACACGTGTGTGCGGGCATGGACTTCATCTCAGTCTTCCTGGGAAGAAGCCTGGGAAGAAGCCTGGAGTCCTTTCGGCTCTGCTGTGAGTCATACCTGGTAGGATTGCTTTGCAGCCATGACTCACCATGCAGAAAAACAAACCCCAGAAAGTCCCTTTGGTCTACCAAAAGAAAAAAAAGAAGAGGAAAAGTGTTTGGCTATTGAAGATAAGGCCACTGATTAATCTGGGGAGGCGAGGATGTCTGCGTGTCTTCCCAGGAATGCAGCAGACTTGAAAAGCACCGGTTTGCAAACACCTCACCTGGAAATGGAAGTTGAGCCAAAGCCTTTCAGATAAAAGAGTATCTGCTGGCTTGCAAGTCTCCCTGCATTATCCCTTTCTTTTTAGGGTCCTTGGGTTTCTGCTCCCACCACTCCGTGAAAGGGGCTACTGTGAGTTGCCAAGGCCCGGGTGTCTCAGGCCCAGCTTGGGCTCGCCACCACTCAGCCATGGTGGACTCCCTCCCACCCCATGTGTGTTCCTACAGTCCCGCTCCCCACAGCCTAAGCCCTGCTCCCCCAGTGCTCTGACCCCTGCCCGGTCTGTCAGCCCTCTGCAGGGGCCTCATCCACACTCCTGGGCAGTGCTCTCCTGCCCTCAAGAGCAATGAACCACCGCCCTGCGCTGGGATCATCTTCCCTCATTACTCATTTACTCCTCCCTGCGACCAGGTGACAGTAACTTCACCAAGAGAGGGAAACTGAGGCCCAAAGTGGTTAAGGAACGTGCCCAGGGTCACCCTGCAGGGCACATGGGAGCTGGCAGGTAGAAGGTGCTGTCCCAGAGCCCATGAGCTGACCTGCTTCCCTCTTCCACCCTCCTCTCCCCTCCCCCCAGGATCCCGATGCCCTCTGTGAAAACCACTTCTGGGAGGCGAGGCGTCGAGGCTGCCAGAAGTATTAAAACCTCTGTTCTTTAGCTCAGGAAGGAAAGCACCACTGGCTTTGTCAGTGCTGGCTTTGTCTTATCACCTTGGCAACAAAGAAGGTGGTCCTGATGATGAATGGGACGCAGAACTGGAATATCTTCACGTGGGAGCTAGGAGTGGAGAAATCAGAGGCATCTTTTCTTCCTGTCCCAGGGGTGGGGTCTGGAGTGTGGGGCCTCCTGGGGGGTATTTTCTGAAGCCCGTTCTGCCTGTGCAAGTTCCAGCTCAAGAGGAGTGTGGTCTGATGCTAAAAGTAGCTCATTTAGCACATGTTAAAGTGAAGGGTAATAGTTCCATAGCTTAAATGAGGTCCTGGCACTGTTAAGGGCTATCCTTATAGAGAAATGTTGGCTAAATTGGTTTCTTTCTCACTAATCTGGACCTGTAAGCTTTTAATCTCCCTGTAGTCAATGATGCCTACATTAGTTTAAGCAATCTGCTACTTTCTTCTAGTTTTGGTCGTTTGTTTTGTTTTAAGATTTTATTTATGAGAGAGAGAGAGAGAGCGCACAAGCTGGGGGAAGGGGCAGAGGCAGAGGGAGAAGCAGACTCCCCTCTGAGCAGGGAGCCCAATGTGGGTCTTGATCCCAGGACCCAGGGATAATGACCTGAGCTGGAGGCTTAACGGACTGAGCCATCGAGGTGCTCCTGGTTTTTGTTTTTGGTTTTTATGGGTTCTTTTGTTGTTGTTGTTGTTGTTTTTAGTAGAATAATCGGACGTAGCAAATTTGCTGGTAGTCCGTATCTGGAAACAGACAAGTTCTTAACCCAGTGCTTTTCCCTTTGGAAAAAGGAGTTCAACTCAACTCTGTAGCTGCCAGGCTCCCGTAATTCCTGTTGTTCCAGGGAGCTGCGCGTCTGATGCTCAGGTCCTCTGCCGCCACAGAATTACTAATGCATGTGTGATCTGAGCGTGATCTAGCCTCACAGAAAGCTACCTTGTAAGGGAGCAGGCTGGTAAGAAACGGAAAGGGTCAGCGGCATAGCCCAGGCTGGCCCTGCCAGGCCAGGGTAGAATTACTCAGATAAAGGGCAGTGCATCTGATAGTCACTGCAGCCTCCCCTCGTGATGCTCAGGACTGCACTTCTTGTCCCTGTAACACTCCCTTGCATACAATGTCGGGGGGGCCTGCAGGTAGATGAACTGGTACACCCCGAAGTAACGGTGTGTGTGGTGGGGGAGGAGATCTATTCTTTAGCGGGTGAGTATCCTCTGCTTCCAGGCAGGCGCTCCCCACTGGAAGCCTGTGGAGGCTGTGCGGTGTATGTTGATTTAGTGATGGGTTTAAGAACACGGTGGCATAGGGCCAGAAGCAACTGCAAGTTCAAGTCAAGTCTTGACCTGCGTTGTCAAGTGCAGTGTCAGTAACTCGTGTGGTCACCCCGGTCTTCTGGCCATAGCTTGTTTGTTTCATCCATCCCTTTGCAATTGCTCTCTGCTACTTAGCTAGTTGACAAGGTGAAAATAGAGGGCTCTAAGGAAAGTCTTAGTTAAATTCCAGAGCACATTTGCTTCTGTTCCTACAGTGGGGAGCGGGGAGGCATTGCTGGGCTTTCCAGGGAGCTGGGTAAGGCTGTGTTTAGTCCCGGGCGGCTGTGGCTCTCCCCAGGGGGCCCTGTGCCCACTCCAGACTCCTTGGAGGCTGGCAGCCACCAGCATGCCCGTGAGCACACGGGGCTGGCCTTGGGTCAGGGAACAGTGAGGGCAGGCTGGCCAGGGGAGCCGAGGGCACAGAAGTCTCCTGTCTGCCCTTCATTCGGGCTGGTGTCGGGTCTCGGGTGGCCGGATCCCGTTACCCGGCCCCAGGACATTCAGTTTCATTGAGGAATACTTTCCCTTTATGTTTCCTTGTGGTGCAGACAATTTACATGGATGACGGAGTGTCGTCTTTTGTCCAGATCAGAGGCTCCGTTCCACTGTTTTGGGAACAGCCCGGGCTTCAGGTAGGTAATGAAAAAAGTAAGTCACCTGCCTCTCTCTTCTGAACAGCTGTGGTTTGTTTCTTTTAACCGTATTTCCTTCAGTTTCCAGGCTTGTTCCTCAGGTCCGTTGGATTGAGCTGAGCTGCCAAAGTCTGCACACGTGTGTGTGTGTGTGTGTGTGTATGTATGCACATGTGTGTGTTTGCGTGTGTGTGTGGTGTTTATATACAGAAATGTATACATCGTGTGTAATCTTCTGACCCTGAGCTTGCTGTTAATGCGGGTGACATGGGAAGGGAGGCCTTTGCTGATGAGCAAGCCACATAATGTGATTGAGTGGAATTACTTTGTTAGCCCCCAAGTTCAGTGTATGGAGAACACGGCCAAAGATGTTTTTTGAGAGCCGAGACCATCCTACGGGGGCTTTGAAAGGTTTCCGGGCCCTAGTGGCCATGCAGCAGGTCCGATGGCCGGAGGGAGGTACCTGCTGTGGGGACACGTGAGGATGGCACGGAACTTTCCCGTGATTTCTAAAAATACACCTTGCAGTCTAAAACAGGGCTCTGGTCCGTGCCAGAGGTATTTGGCGTTCTGTCTCCTGGGAAGAGTTCAGGGCATGGCACCACATTCCAAGGACACGTTTGTCGTCCATGGAACTGTGCACTGCCTCGTTCTCGAGTTCCTTCCCCGGAGGGTCATGGGCCGAGTGGGTCTGAGGTTCCTCAGCGTCGACCCCAGACCTTGCCGTCTGGCCCAAGCGATCGCCTGCGTGCCCAGAAGACCCCCCTGCCCAGGCCTCTGTGGTTCCGGCTCCCCTTACCAAGGGCGCTGCGTGTTGGCGGTTGGGTTGTCAGCAGTGCCTCAAGAGGCTCAGGGCCGTCTGCCAGGTTCTTGGGGGCTGTTTGCCACCACTGGGTCTCTCGCCGGCCCTTGACTTGACCCCGTGGCAGCAGGAGGCACTTTGTCCACATGGCTGTCATTGTGCCGTTGACAGCCTTGATAAGGAACCATGTCAGTTCTTGGAGGGAGGTGGAGGCGTGAGGGTCTCCTGTGGGGTCTGACTTCTGGTGGAGGGAGAAGCTTTTTCAGCCTTCAGTCTTCCCATCAGAAAGGAACAGCTAAGATATATGAGGCTGGCTGGTGGCATTATGTGGCGGCATAGACAGACATTCCTGAGGGTGATTAGGACAGGGAAGATGATTCTGGAGCTCATCCCAGAACAGTTTTTTTAAATGGCTTTATCGTGATCTAATTTATATGCCATAAACTCCACCCATTTAAAGCGTACAATTCAGTGGTTTTTAGTGCATTTATAGAGTCATGGAGCCAATCACCGTGGTCTAATTTTAGAGGACTCATCACCACTAAGAACCCTGTCCCCGCTGGCTGTCACCCCTCCCCGTGCCCTCCCAGCTCTCCCCAAGGCCAAAGCAACAGTCAGTCTATTTTCTGTCTCTATAGATTTACCTGTTTGGGACATTGCAAAAAGGGTTTTTGAAACTTGATTTTCTTTCAGTCTGGAGTTTTCCTTCTGAAACTTCTGGAGCTCTGTATTTAGAAGAATAAAAAGCAAACATCAAGGGAGTAGGGGATAAAAAGGAAGCAGGAGACAATGTTAGGTTTCACGTGAAGACTTTAAGAAATCCAGAAATTGGGGGTGGTCGTGATAGTCTTGGAATCCGGGCAGGAGCCTGTGAAATTCATCCCCTTCACCCCTGTGTCCAGTTCTGGGTCCTTCTGACCTCCGACACTGACCCTGAGATCAGGATTTGGGATGGCCGATGTTACCAGCGGTCTCCTCCCTGCCTTACAAGCTGCCTGTCTGCAGGGCATTGCGGGGGATGCATCCGAGTGAGTCTGATTCCCCAGACTTTCGAGAAGCTTCTCCCTCTCTCCATTGTGTCTTGTCCGAGGCTTTCCAGCTCTTGGCATCTTCCATCCCATTTCTAGGACTCTCCATGTTCCGGTCTCCCTCTTCCCAAAACAAAGCAAAACTGGTCTGTCATTCCCCTCTTTAATTTTGGTCCCCAGCTTGACCCACTTGATGCAGCCTGACCCTGACATGGAACAGCTGTCCCTCAACCCAACATGGGCAGCCTCAGTGGAGCCTGGGGGGCCAGGAGCTCGCTTTTGGCAGCAGCGGTGCCTTTTAGATTCATAACACTTGTACCGCCCCAGAGCCTCCGTGGTTTCTTCAAAATAAGTTTCCAAAGGCTCTAGTGTTTATTAATCTTACGGAGGATTTGCTAACCTTTGGGTCTGATACCCATGTTTATCCTCTAAAACCATCCACCGTCAAAGAGAGATTATTAGGTCATCTTCAGGGCAACCGGGTTCGGTGATGGTCTGCAGTCACCCGCCTCTCTGAATTATCAATGGCAAGCCCGAGGATTGATTCTGGTGGTTTTTCTCCCCTCCTTCTTAGGTTAGATGAAAAATGCAAAGATTTTTGGGCAGACAACTTGCATTTTAAATTGCAGTGTTGCACCCTCTGGGGGCTCTCCCTGGGAACTGATGCGCCCTCCCGGAGATAGGGCATAGGGGTGGGGACGGGCAAAGGGGACTCGGGATGATGATTTGTCTGCACGTTTCCACGGCAGTGGTGCCCTCCTTACAAACTCCTGGATCCTGACACCATTTCGAGCCACCGTGTGCCTTTCACAATTTCCTCTTTACCATGTAAACGGCTTTGCAGTTTATAAATAGCCACACTGAAATCTTACACTTAAAGCTAATTGCTCTCCTGGTATGGTTAGTGAGAGAATATATTCTTTCTATACTTTTAGTCCGTTGAAGATTCTGCTCCCCTGTCACTTTAGAATCTTCCTCCCCTGTCACACGCGTATACCGATGGGTCTTGCCAAGGTGAGTTAGGTCTCTGTTTTGAAGCTTTCTATGACGTCAGCAGTTGGAGGAGGATGCAGATTGGTCCCCTCTGCTGTTCCCACCTTGCCTACACTCGCCTCCTCCCTGTCACGCCCTGTTCACTAGGCTCTTGGGTACACGGCACTGTATGTGCTCCTTTGTGTGGTTGTACTTTTTTTGGTCCCCAGAAGGATGTGAGATGCCTTGTAGCACAACAGTTTCCAAAAATAAGACGTTGGGTTGAGGGAAACATCCTTCTAATGCAAACAAACCGAATCCGGGAGAGAGTTGCGCACGCACGGCGGGCCCCGGGCCTTGTGTGTTTGCATGAGCGAGCTCCTGTGTTTCCCAGCAGCCATCGCCCAAAGAACCACAACGAGAGGCAGCTTCTGCTGTGATTCAGAGCATAAACTTAGCCATGATAGGCCCTGGTTCCAGTTCAAGTCCTGGGTCCCTGGCTTAGGGACCCTATTCTTTCGACAAGTTTTTATCTCAGAATAAGGTTCTTATCAGAAACAAAAAACCAAAAAACCTGAGAAGTTCCTCTCTTTGCCCAGCCTTAGTTTACTCTTCTGTAAGTGGGGTCAACAGTCAGCCTCACGGGCTTATGGAGAGGTTACGTCACGGCGCAGAGTAGAATTCGGTGCAGTTTCCAGACCCTGGAGGGTACACAAGTGGTAGCTGTTAATATTTTTAACGTAAGTTATACCATCTAGGAGACAAGAACACAGGTTGCATTGGGAGAACAGGGCTCTTTGCACCCAGAGAGTGGAATGAGAGCCTCGCCCGTGAGGTGGGGACAGTGTCCACCTGTCTCTCTATCAAGACAAGGCCCAAGGACGAGGCTCCTGGTGTCCCATTGCCCCACCCTCAGAGCAAGCCATTTGTTCATCCCAGAGACACTGAGCATCTGTGGGTACGTGGGGGCACTTTACGTCATAGCCCATGAAAGAGGAGGCCAAGATCCCTAGGGCAGCTGTGGGGAGGGTCAGCTCGGCCGCTGAGGGGGTGGGTGTCTGAACCGACTCGGGAGGGATGGGGCCACATCGCCAGGCGAGGAAGGCAGCCTGCAGAGGCGACCACACGTGCGGGTGTGGCGGCCCAGTGGTCTCAGAGTGTCCAGGGGGTTGCAAGGCTTGCTGCTCACAGCCCAAGGCATGGGGGCCGTGGCCAGACATCAGGCTGGAAGGGCAGGCAGGGGCCAGATGGAGACACTAAGGAGTTTATGTTTTACTCCAGGAGCTGCTAAGGGCGGGTCGGGCGGGGGGGCGCCCTGACTTGGCTGCACTGGGTATAGAAGAAGAAACTTTGGGTTGTGATTCGGGGAGAGGCAGACATGTCCATTAACAGAACTTGTCACTAAACACCAGGCTTCTGAGCCCTGGACCATTGTTTTTCTACTCTCCCCTTACTGCCTTCCCCTGGGAAGGATTCTGAAAACAGCCGCAGCTTATCCAGGGGAGATTTCTCGCCCGGACGGACAGGCTGACCGCGCAGCAAGCAGCCCCTTCTCTTGGGCTTCAGCCCTCGGGGATCTCGAGGACGGTGGCTCAGAGGAACGTGGGCCTGCTTTCTGCCGGCGCCCGCCTCGTGAGTTCCGAAGACAGGAGCTGACTGGCCTCGGAGTGCCGGAGAGAGCAGTCTTCTCAGAACTCGGGCTGTGCAGGTTTTGGGAATGAACTCTCGCGTTCCCTCAGCCAGGTATTGATGCCTTTGGGGAGAGGAGCGCAGAATAAACACAGCAGCAAAGTGAAAGTGATTGGTGGAGCCTCTCCTAAGGACTCCCAAGATTTCTTAGGACCGAAAGGGACTTGGGACTTTATTTGTAGAATCATTTAGACGGACACGCCCAATCCCAGTGATTTCTAAATCTGTTGGTGAGAAGCCCGTTGTCCAGAGTGGCTCTTTCCGCGGGTATGAAGAGGGACAGATGTATGACCTATGGCAGGGAAACTTGGAAATAACAGTGGTCCCCAATGGTGCAGACAAGCCTAATGACACCATGTTTGTAATGCCCCATAACCAGCAAAGCCGAACAATACACTTCAAGAAACGTTCTATCTTAAAATAATTCCAGACCTACAGGAAAGTTGTAGGGACAGTAGGGAGAACTCCCATGCATCCTGTTCCCAGATTCACTTAATGTGAACCCCTTGCTGCCCACACACATGTGATCCGCTATTTCCCGAACCCCTGGAGAGTGGGTTGCTTACATCACGTCTCCTTACTTAATATGTCAGGACGTTTTTCCTGAAAGTAGATATGTTCTCTTGATCAGCACAGGATGGGTACACGGTCAGCAGATGTGACACGATGCTCTAAACTGACCTGCAGTCCACATTCAAGATTTATCAATTGTCCCCATACTGTCCGTCATGGCACCTTTCCCCCTCTGGTCAGGGGTTGGGACGTGATCCTGCCCTGTGTGTCATTGTCACGTCTCTAGTCTCCTTAGATCTGGATCAGTTCCTCTGCCTTCTGTCTCTTGGACACTGACATTTTTGGAGAATGCAGGTCTTCTTTTTCTTTAAATCGAAGGTGCCTCCTGTGGGGGTTTCCAGGTGTTTTATTATGATTGGGTTCATGGTGTGGATCTCTGACACCACCACATCCTGTCAGAGTGTCCCATCTGTGTCCCACAGTGACCATGTACCCCCTCATCAGTGAGGTTAATTTCCATCACTCAGGCACGGTGCTACTCAGTTTCTTTCCTTATAGTTACTGTGTCTTCCTTTTCAACTAATAAGCGTCTACGAGAGACTCAGACCATGCTAGTGTCCTATTCCCATCAGACTCTCCCTGAACATTTATGATCAACAGGTGATTTTTGCTGAACCATTCTTTACTATGATGGTTGTAGAATGGTGATTTTTCCACCACTGTAACCACATTTATCGATTGGTGTTCTCCTGTAAGGGAGAGCCCTCCCTTCCCCCATCCACCTGCCCACCTCCCTGTCCGTTCATCTGTCCACTCAGCCACCCAGTCAGCCAGCTCTCGTCTGTAGAGATTTATGAATTTCTATTTCAGTCATCAGATTATAATCCATTACTGTCCTTTATAGTTCAGTGCTCACACTGTCCCAGATTTGTCCAGGGAGAGCTTTTTTAAGCTGGCCCCAATAACAATACATAATTTTAAGTTTGTTTCTTAAACTTTTGATGTTAAATAGGTAATTCTAAATCATAAAGCATCTTAGTTTGCAGGTAGTTATAACTCAGATTTTAGGGTGGTCGAGGTCACCAGACTTGCAGAGGAGGCTGAGAAGTGGTTTCTCTCTCCCTGGTTGGCTTACATTCACCTCTGCAGTGTGGGAAAGTTTGCAGATCTGACATGGGTCTCATCGGCTGACCCTGAAGTTTCTCTTCTGCCTTTGGAAGAATTCCAGCCAGCGTGGGGTCCAGGCGGCATTTGGGATGGGCTGCAGCAGAGCCAGACTCGGGCTTCGGGACCTGAGTTCAAGGCCGGCCTTCCAGATCTGTGCATGGGCCACAGAAGGGGCGAGAGGCTGCCACGTGTAGCCTGGCTGGCAGCGAGGGGGATGGGGAAGACCATCACTTCCTGGGTTCACGGAGCAGGAAGAATCACTAGTATTGTTTCTCTTTGCTTTAGGTTGGCTCTCATCATCTGAGACTCAACAGAGGCCTAGAAGCCAACGCCCCTGCTTTCGACAGGTAGGATTGTTTGGCACCATCCTAAGGCTGTCATCCTTTTGAGAGTCTTCCCCCCGTCACCAGACAGAAGCACAGGGGACAGCGGGAGGGGAGGGCCCCACACCCTGGACCTGCATCTGCCTTTTACTTTGGTTCTTCGGGCAAGAGGGGAGTGTACAAAACGGGATTTTTAGTGGCTCTCAGGTTTTCCTGAAAGTTCATTAGTACTGAGGCAACCTTTGGCAATGATTTTATCTTTCCAGTTCGTTCTTTAATGAAGCTTTATCCCTTTGTCCTAGTTAACAAGGGATAACCTAAATTATAGGATATTTGTGGCTGCTTGTTTTTCCTTTAAAAGCGATATATTCCCAGACTTAAAAAGCCTTAGTACAGAAAGGTATAAAGTGAGAAATAAAAGTACTGTTAACTTCCAATTCCCGCTACTAAAGATTTCACTATTCGTTTTTGATGTATCATTCTAGAAAACCATTTGGCAGATATACAGTTCATTTTCTGAACCACAGACTGGACCATTACACGTTTCCTGTTACGGAATTTTCTTAAGAATAGCTATCACTCAACTAAACAGTAACTTATATTTGACATAGTTAATGTCTTCTTAAAATATTTGCGTTTTTAATCTAAATACTAATTTTAAAAATTAGTGAATGTCATAAAAATTCCAAGAGTGATTTTTTTTTTCCCAAGGGTATTAATCGTTCTGCCTGAAGCTTGATTTGGCTGTTAAATCCGCGCACATCCTTCTTGTTTACCGCAGACTGGCACGTCAGCCTGACGGTGACCGTGAATTAATTAGCACATGGTGTGTGTGTACATGAAGATGCTCTTGCCTGTTTTCAGGACGCTGTTAACGTGTTCTGTGCATTGTGTAGATGGCGTTGTTGTAGGAGACACTGAGCTGCATTAAATGTCCTTAGGAAATTGAAAATGAGATTCCTCCCTAGCTGATCACAGTAGAAGGGAAGGGACATGCATGCTGGGCTTGTTTCAAAGCCTGGTGTTGATGAGCTTTATATATATATATATATATATATTTTTTTTTTTTTTAAAGAATGTTTACACTGACTTAAATGTTTTTAAATCCTGTTAGTGCGTGGTGTGTGCCCCCGAGGATAGGCCCTCTCTTCTCGCAGGAGCCCATTCAAGGCCGTAAGCCCTTTGACGGGACTGGAAATGTGGCTCACGGCACGCTGCCTTCCTAAAGCGGTCTAGCCGGGATGGAGCTGCCCTGCCTCACGTTGGCTGCTGCCCCGGTACGCTCATGGCAGCGCCGTGTAGGAGCTCGGGCTCATGATTCTCCAGCAGACCCACTGCAGGGGGGCACTGGGGCTCCCAAGGGGCAGGGCTGCAGACCCCATCTCTGGCACATTAGGGGGCTCTCAGGAGTTTCTCCCTTCTTTGATGTGTTTGGTCCAGAGTAAATCCCTTACCCCCCCAACCTGCCCCCACGAAACCCCTTTCCCTGGGTAGTTTGAGTACACACGGAATACCTGTGGCCAGTGCTGTACTGTTCCCTAGGTTGTTCATTGTTCCCTCTTGTCCACCTGCCGTCCAGGGGAGAGAAGGGGGTGCACTGAGCAGGCCTTGGCTGCGCCGGCCTGAGGAGGATCTTGTTTCGCTGGTAGTTTGGATGGAAGTGTTAACCTTTCATGGTGGGCAGCGCCTGGGTCTGTCTCACCTGTGTGGGCTGCTGGCCCCCCCACTCCTTCCTCCCTCTCTTTGTGTGGAGCTGCTTGCATCTGTGGTCCCGGGATGGACCCTAGGGTGTGTTTCCCTGCTGGCAGCTCCGTTACGCCCTGCTTCCCCGACTCCTCATGTCCCAAAAAGCCTCCCAGTTCTCCAAGGAGCCCCACACAAAGGTAACGGGCGGGCAGGCAGGGGAAGGGCCCCGGGTGCCCAGAGCATGGAGGCTGGGCTGAGTCTGGCTGGCCTCCGGCTGGGCTCCAGCACTTCCCCTGGGAGCCCTGAGGGGCGTCTTAGTGTATCACTAGTAAGTGTATTATCTTATTTTAAAATTAAAAGGAAGGAAAGGAGGGCACCTGGGTGGCTCAGTCGTTAAGCGTCTGCCTTCGGCTCGGGTCGTGATCTCAGGGTCCTGGGATCGAGCCCTGCATCGGCTCCCTGCTCAGCGGGGAGTCTGCTTCTCCCTCTCCCACTGTGTGCTTGCTTGCTCTCTCTCACAAATAAATAAATAAATAAATATTTTTAAAAAGGAAGGAAAGGAAAACCAGCTCCGCTGTGCCAAGCACTGACTAGTCACTTTTATTTGCTTTTTAGCCCTCCTTTTACAGGAGGAGGATTAGCTTTATGGTACAAAGGAATAGCTCAGAAGGGATGAATAATTTGATCAAAGGTGCTTGGGGCTGGTGTGATGAGCAATATTGTTTCTCTTCCAGCTCTGGGTTTGGAACCTATTGAGACACAGGGTCACACATCAGGCTTATTTCTGATAAGCTGCATTGTGGGAGGCAGCTTGCAGGTGTGGCCACAGTGGGCTTCCTTGAATTTCACCCCCAAATCATGGGTGCTCACTCAGTGGCCCAACAGAGTTGGGCAGCTCAGACTTGCCACCAGAGCAGAGCCTGCCCTTTGGCTCCATGTGTCTGACCTCTGGCCAGGACACACCTTCCCCGGGCAGGCAGACCCAGAAGAGCCCAGAGGGGCTGAGCCATGCACACTCCGTCTCTTCTCAGACACCCACCCTGAGCACAGGCTTTGCAGAAGCCCCCAGTTGCACCAGTCTGATTGAGCCCTACCTCTTCCCGGGGCAGGGACTCCACAGGGAGGGCGGGGCTGCCAGGTGCATCCTTGAGTTCACCCTTACCGAGTCAGCAGAGGACCTAAATTCAAAATACCCCCTTCAGAATCCATATTCTACTATGGATTCTTTTGTGCTAATTAGCTTAAAAAAATGTCATCCTAGAAATTTGGGAAATACAAAAATCTATAAAGAAGAAAAAGATTTTAAGTCACATAAAATTCCACCACTTTTAATATTGTGGTGTGCTATCTTCTAGTCTTTTTTCTATCTTTAGGCATGAAGATTACGTGATGAAAATATGGTTTACATTTGCTTTTGCTTTTTTTATTGTCTTTTCCTTATATTTTTTTAAATTACATTTAAGCATTCCTACCATTATTAAGATTGTAAAGTTAACTTTTCAAAGGCTGGTGATAAAGGATAAATATTAGTCTTTCCCTAATATTTCAACATCTGTATTTTTTTTTAAAGATTTCATTTATTTTTTTATTTGAGAGAGAGAGAGCATGGGCAGGGGAGGAGCCAAGGAAGAGGGAGGGGGAAAGAATCTCAAGCAGACCCCACGCTGAGCATGGAGCTAGACTCAGGGCTCTATCTTACGACCCTGAGATTGTGACCTGAGCCAAAACCAAGAGTCAGATACTCAACCAACTGAGCCACCCAGGTGCCCCACAACGTATGTATTTTTAAAAGTCTCTGATCTATGAATATTTTTCTAAAGCCTGAAATTTTACTGTGCCTTCTTGCTTGGTTTACACATAATTACACATAATGAAATAGGGCACTTAGATAACAGACAGTGAGGTTAACAACCCTCCTACCAGCTTTTCTAGTTTAGAGGAGGAAGGTACCAAGTATATTAGAGATTAATTTCAGAAATGTAGCACATCACACTTCTTGGGCTCTGTTAATAAAAGACCAAGTTAGCTGTTCTAGATTTAATAGTGGTCCTTTACAGAAAGTCCAGCATATCCTCCATCTGATGTTATGCTTATGTAGAAGTCTGATAGGCTGTGAATTATTCTTGGCCTGAGCCTTGCGTGCAGACTGTTGACACACTTGTCCCTGACTGTGGGGTTGGTGGCTGGGAGAGACTGGTTTTCTCCCCCCAGCCACCCCCGCAACCAATTTTGGGTCCTGGGGAACAGCTCCTCCTGGACCTCTGGTGCCAAGCAGGTAACCTCCTGCACCCTGTGCCCTGGAAGGTGGGGCCACCAGTCTGTGTGCTAGTGACACGGGATCACCGTGCTGTCCCGTGTCCTCGAGGGTGGGGCCGCCAGTCTGTGTGCTGGTGACATGGGGTCACTGTGCTGTCCCATGTCCTCGAGGCTGGGGCCGCCAGTCTGTGTGCTGGTGACACGGGGTCACGTGCTGCGCTGTTCCATTGCAGGCATATGGTGCTTCTGAAGGAGCAGTATGGGAAGCAAGTGGTCGTAAACCTGCTAGGGAGCAGAGGTGGAGAGGAGGTGCTCAACAGAGCCTTCAAGGTAAAGGCCATGGTGCTTCTCGGCCCCGAGAGGCGGTGGGTGAGGGACATGAGGGCCCCGTGTGGAGGCATGCTTCCATGCAGGACTGGGAACAGCACTGCTCTTACCATGCTTGGGGAGTTCTTTCCCACCAGCTCTGTCGCATTAGGTGATTTGGGCTTCTGATATATGAAATTTAATTTTTATGAACTGATGGTTAGAGAATTTGCTCAAAGTCAAACAAAGCATCTCCCACCTCTAGCTGCATCTCCTCTGGGGCTCCCCCTGTGGCTTGGAGGGCTGGGGAGAGCCAGGCCTCTCTCCCTGGTTCTCTTGGACACACACACGCACACACACACACACACACACACACACACACGTGGGCTTCGCCCCACGGTCCCGGACTACTCAGGGAGCCTGAGCTCCCCTTCCTTCCTTGGTCTGGCTCTCCTGCTGGCCAGAGCCTCCTGGTGCACTCACCCGAACACCTGCAGGGCACTGGGCCTGGAGCAGTCGTTCAGAACTCCTGCTCAGTTTAAAGCAAGGAGTCTTAATGGGATTTCCTCCCGCTAACTTCAACCTTCAAATCTTCCATCCCTGTCTGGGCTCTCCCTGAAAGCAGCTTCCTTTGCCCAGCTCCCCATGGGCTCCCAGAAGCCCCTCTGGGCAGCTTCAGGGGTGGGGGTGTAGGGGGATGGGGGCCTGAGCAGGGAAGGAACCGATTGAAGGAATAGCTCCACCTACCTCGCCGAGGCCTCTCCCTGTTCCCAGAGCTCCTGAGTGTATTCAGTCTGCTAGGTGAAAAGCTCCAGAATGAGCTGTGGGCGACGTCCGTGTTCCTTTCCCAGTGGCCTGGGTCCCCCACTTAACAGAGAAAAGCCCTCTGGCTGTTCCAAAATCCAGGAAGCCCCTTCTGGGGAGAGTGAAATCGGACCTCAGCTCATAGGAAGCAGCGTTTGCTGCCTCCCTGACTCCTCACCTCTGGCCAGTAGGAGCTGAGCCCAGTGGGTGCTCCTTCCACTCCGCTCAGAAGGGCCATGTGCTCAGAGCAGACCCTCTGGTGGCCAGTTTCATTTGGCCAGACCTGCTTGTCCTGTTTCGTTTGTTGCTGTTGGCAATAAGCTTGCTGAGTATCTCGCCTCCCAGCCATCTTGGCAGCAACCCTGATGGCTTATTTTAAGGAAAAAGAAGGAAAGAAACAGAATCTCTTTTCCCTTTATGTCTTGAGTTATGGAGAGGGGATGTCCTCAGCACCCCATCCGTCAGCAGAGGTGCCCCCCTGCTGACGGGCTCTTTGTCACGAGTCGGCCAGGAGGCAGCAGTGATCCCGGGGCCCCAGGTGGAGGAGGGCAGGCTGCTGGGCAGGGAGGAGGGAGGAGGGGGATGCCGCCTGGAGGAGACCCCCTGGTGTCACACCTAACGGCGGCTCCCTCAGCCCTGAGGTCCATGCGCCAGCCGCCGACCTGAGGTCCTCAGGCCACAACCCGGCAAGGGGCTCGCTCCAAAATGTGACGTCGCGAGGGAGTACACTACTCAGTTCCATGGGCTTCTTTTTTCTAGCAAGACTCTCCGGATGGTCACAACCATGCGCTGACTGGTATTCTGGCTCACAGTGGATGGGCACTTTGAGTTGCAGGGACCAGAAGGCCCAGAGCCCTTCTAGTCTTTCAAGGTCATTAGAGACTCCGGACAAGTCTAACCTGAAGCTATGCAGGAGGGTGCAGGGTGGGACAGGCCTGAGGCCAGGTGCCCTGAGGAGGCCGCCGGTTCATCTTCTAACCACAGGGCTCCTGAGAGAGCTCAGGAGTTGCCCGGGAGGTTCCTCGTGTGGGACGGAGGCCTCGGTGAGGAACACCACGCTGCCTGGAGCCCACCTGCTTTGCGTTCCCATCTCTGGCCTCGCCTCCCCTGCAGGTCCTGCTCCAGCCCCGGCCCACGGGCGCCGACCCCGCGTTACCCCATCCCGCAGTCTCACTGGGCTGGACCCAGAGGACCCTGATGGGAGAATTGGGCACCAGTGAGCACACCCGCCTGAGGCTTACGCTTGTCAGGATGGGGCTGGTTACCATATCAACAGGGAGCTGGATTATGAGCTCCACAGCCTGCTGGGCTGCCCTGTCCCTGGCAGGCCGGTGACACCTGGGTGCCGGCAGAACAGAGTGGTCCTTCCCTCCTCGGCGCCCTCCCAAGAGCCCTGCGGGAGGGTGATGTCGGTTCAGGGCTGTGAGCCAGGGAACCAGAGCTGCTCCAGCTGTCTTTTGCCCGGGCTGGACCTGCCCCGTTGCAGGCAAGATGCTCTTTGCAGTATTGCCCTCCGAGTCTTCGTTCTTCCGTTCCAGGGTCAGCACGGATAGTCAGCTCAGTCCCCCATACGCCTTCCAGCTAAAGCGTGTGCCCTAGCAAGCGCCCCGATTAGCCTCCCCACCCCCAGCCATGAGAGGTTTGTGGTCACCGTGTCCCTTCCCTCGCTCTCCTGCCGTTCTCTCCCTTTCCACCTGCAGAAGCTGCTCTGGGCCTCTTGCCACGCCGGTGACACACCTATGATCAACTTCGACTTCCATCAGTTTGCCAAAGGTGGGAAGCTAGAGAAATTGGAGAACCTGTTGAGGCCCCAGTTGAAGCTGCACTGGGATGACTTGGACGTGTTCGCCAAGGGCGAGAATGTAAGTCCACGGTGAGTCTCCGCCTGCATCCTCCCCCTCCTCGTGCCGGGTGACCAGCGGAGCGGCTGGGGTCCTCCTGGGCTGGGTACCTCCCCTGCTGCTCGGCCACACTTGCAGTCTCTGGGACCACAGGCTCAGGGATGTGGGGGGTCCCGGGTTCCAGCGCCTTCTTCCCCTTCCCGCCTTCAGAACATGCTTTTGCATTTTGTGAATAGACGGCAAAGTGTGGTTTTCTGGCAAAATAAATGATAAATGAGGGGACTAGGTGAAAACGTGGAGCTGTGGCGACCATAGAACTTACTGTCCAAACTGAGGAAAGCCCATGAGAGTGAAGACGGACAGCTGGTGTCAGTTCCATTGCCCGAGGGGCCCGGGGTCTGGATTTTCCTGCCCAGAGCTGAGCAGAAGAAGGAAGTCCACTTTTCTCAAATCACAAGGCAGTCAATCCTCATTTTTCACAGATTCTGTATTTGCAAATTGGTCCATTGCGAACATTTATTTGTAACCCCCAAATCAGTACTTCTGGACCTTTCAGGGTCATTCACAGACATGCTCAGAACTGTGAAAAATTTGAGTCCCCGAGTACATCATGTTCCCAGCTGAGGGGGAACCAGGCGACGCTCTGCCTCTTGGTTTCAGCTCTCCGACGATAAAGTGTCCTTTTTGTGGTCTGTGTGGTGCCACGTGGTCACATATTTGTGCATTTTATTGGTGATTTCACTGTTTAAAATGGCGCCCAGTGTAGTGCCAAAAGCTGGAAAATGTTTCCAAGCCCGAGGTGGTTGTGATGTGTCTGATGGGGAAAGTACGTGTGACAGAGAAGCTTGGTGGAGCTGTGTTAGAGGGCAGTTGACTAGGAGGTCAGTGTTAATGAATCAGCAATCAATAGTAAAGTGCCTTTAAACAGAAACAGCTGTAAAACAAGGTTGTGTGTTGAGTAGTTGGTGAAAATGTGTGAGGGCAGAGGCCCGCAGGAACCTAACCCTAGATTTCCCCTGGGAGCAGTAGTTCAGCATTTGTAATCTGCTGATGGGTCAGTTCGCTAATTGTTTTTTTCTTTTTAAGATTTATTTATTTATTTGAGCAGGGGGAGGGGCAGAGGGAGGGAATCTCACGCAGAACCCCACTGAGCAGGGAGCCCAACGCCAGGCTCAGTCTCACTGCCCTGAGATCATGACATCATGACCTGAGCCAAAACCCGAGAGTCAGACGCTTAACTGACTGAGCCACCCAGGCGCCCCTCAATTCACTAATTGTTTATGGAAAGTTTCTAGAACATGAGTACGGCAGATAATGAGAATTGGCGTATTTTATAACTACCCAGCTGTGCGTGCCACTGCAGCCATGCTGGGGTCCCTCAGGGTGTGTGCCCTGGGGGTTCTGGTGGGCTACTAGAGTAGGCGAGGGTCGGCACCAGTTTTCTCAGAGGCCTGCAGTTAAACTTAGGCTATTGTGCTATAGCCATTGCTACTTCAACAACTTGTAACCATTTGCATTTCTTGTTTTCCTAAGTTTTCAGAAAGGCACTTTGCGGATGAACTGCCTTGATTGCCTGGACCGAACCAACACAGTGCAGAGCTTCATCGCACTCGAGGTCTGTCCCTGCCATGCGAGGCCCCTTGGGCCGCCTGGGTCATGTCCCATGCCTCCATTGGCAAGATGAGGGGGATATCACTGAGCTAACTTTCTAATGGTGGAAACGTGGGGCATAGATGTGCCAGGCATCTTAGAGCGAGGTTTGCCTGGGTGGCTGGTTTGCCCATACCACTGTATGCCTTCGCCCCATTTGTAGGCACACTTTATGGAATGCATCCCAGACATGGTCACCCAAAGGTGCCAGGGGCCACCTTGAGAAACAGTGGTTCTCTGTAATGATTCCTGTGAATATTGGATTGGGCAAGGGCTGTGTGAGGCTGGCTGAGATGAGGCTGGATTTGAAGCCTGGGAGGGAGACCTGAGTCTGTCTAGTGGCCTGCTGGCCTAATGCCTGGTTGACCTCTCCTGGCTCACTGCTGGGGGGAAGGGGTGGGGTCACTGCTGTCTGCCAGGCTATCCCTGATTGCTCTCCATCCCTCTGGTGGTCAGGGCTGGGGCGTGGGGGAGTAGGCCAGGAGTAAGGGGCCCAGCGGAGGGCTGGTGGCATGATGAAGACCAGGTTGGATTAAGTTGGGTGAGTTGTGGTAGGAAGCCCCATTCTTTGCTGCAAGGATTCCCTGTTCTCTGGAGGGGCACAGAGTGATCCACAATCTGCCAAATCGGGAACTCACTGGGATAATGCCTCATGACACTCACCCAAAGCAGCTGTGGGTGGTAGGAGCTTCCAGGTGAGAAGACAGTGACATCTGTCCCTTACTTCTCATCCAGGTCCTTCATCTGCAGCTCAAGAGCCTAGGGCTGAATTCAAAGCCCATCGCTGACCGCTTTGTGGAGTCCTTCAAAGCCATGTGGTCTCTGAACGGGCACAGCCTGAGTAAGATGTTCACGGGCAGCCGGGCCCTGGAAGGGAAGGCCAAGGTAAGGGCAGGCCACAGGGAGAGAGGGAGGGCCTGCATGGATCCCTCTCACGGCCTCTGGTCTGGCTCATGGCAGGTAGGGAAGCTGAAGGATGGGGCGCGGTCCGTGTCTCGCACAATCCAGTCCAACTTCTTTGATGGGGTGAAGCAGGAGGCCATCAAGCTGCTGCTAGTTGGGGATGTCTACACCGAGGAGTCTGCAGACAAAGGAAGGATGCTCCTGGACAACACGGCCCTGCTGGGTAAGGGGGCTCCTGCTCTGCTTGCATGGAGATGTCTAGCTGCCCTGCCACCCGGAGGGAGTGTGTGGGGGGCAGGTTGTGCTAGCCAGTCCTTCCCTCTCCTCCTCATGTAATCCCAAAAGGCAGGGAGCAGACACTCTCCTGAGCTGTTCCGTGCTCGGCCCTTCTGGCCTATGACTTCAGCTTGACCACGGGACTTAAGCAGCCTAGAGCTACGGTTTGTATTCTTTTATGAGATCGTCAGTCATGTACAGCCACAAAAGGAGGCTCAGGAAAAAATAGAGTTTATTCTTCAGTTGTAAGGACATACAGGGGCGCCTGGGTGGCTCAGTCAGGTAAGTGTCTGTCTCTTGACTTTGACTCAGGTCATGATTTCAGGGTCATGAGATCGAGCCCCGCATTGGGCATCAGGCTCTGTGCTCAGCATGGATGGAGCCTGCTTAAGACTCTCTCTCTCCCTCTCCCCCTCCCGCTCTCACTCATGCTCGCTCTCTCTTTAAAAAAAAAAAAAAGACATGCAGACGAAAAGGGAAAGGATGGAAAAAGATGTTTTATGCAAAAACGAAAATAAAAAGAAAGCTGGCGTAGCTATACACCTAGCAGACAAAACGAGACTTTAAAACAAAGACTAAAAGTAGACAAGGGGCATTACATAATGATAAAGGCGTCCGTTAAATGACGCCATAACAGGTATAAATATATCTGCACCCAGCATCTGAGCGCTAAGATATTTAAATATTAACAGACCTGAAGGGAAAAATTTCAGCAATACAACAAGAGTCGGGGGTTTTAATATCCTACTTACATCAATGGATAAATCATCCAGGCAGAAAGTGAATCAGGAGACATTGGCCTTAAACAACATGTTAGACCAGATGGATTTAACAGACATAAGCAGAACATTCCACCCAAAAGCCAACAGAATAAACATTCCTCTTAAGTACACATGGAACATTCTTCAGGATGGGTCATATGTTATGCCACAAAGCAAGTCTTAATAAATTCAAGAAGATTGAAATCATATCAAGCATCTTCTCTGACCACAGTGGTATGAAACTAGAAATCAATTACAAGAAAACTGGAAAAAAAACACAAAAATGTAGAGATTAGACAATGTGCTACTGAACAACATATGATGGGTCATCAAAGAAGCAAGGGAGAAATTAAAAAAAAAATACGTAGAGACAAACAAAAACAGAAATACAACACACCAAAATCTTTAGGACACAGAAAAGCACTTCTGTGAGGAAAGAGCAAAGCAATCCAGGCCTACCTCAAGAAACAAGAGAAATCTCAAACAATCTAACTTTACAACCAAAGGAACTAGAAAAAGAAGAACAAATGAAGCCCAGAGTCCGTAGAAGGAAGGAAGTAATAAAGATCAGAGTGGAAAATAAATGAAATAAAGATTTAAAAACAGCAGGAAAGATCTATGAGTTGGTTCTTTGAAAAGATAAAACAAAATTGATGAAACTTTAGCTAGACCAACCAAGAAAAAGGAGAGGTCGCTAATCAGAAATGAAAGAGGAGAGATTACAGCTGATACCACAGAAATACAAAGGATCACAGGAGACTACTACACATAATTCTATGCCAACAAATCAGACAACCTAGAAGAGATGGATAAATACCATTCTTCCAAGATTGAATCATGAAGAAATACAAAATCTGGATAGACCGATTATTAGTAAGGAGATTGAATCAAAAATCAAAAACCTCCCAACCGGGGCATCTGGCTATTTCAGTTGGTAGAACACACAACTCTTGATCTCGGGGTTGTGAGTTTGAGCCCTTTGTTGGGCATAGAGATTTTAAAAAATAAAATAGAGTGGCTGAAAATTAAAACCAAAACCAAAAAACCCCCTCCCAATACATATAAGTCCCATGGCCTGAAAGCATCACTGGTGAATTCTACCAAATGTTCAAAGATTAAATATCTGTCCTTCACAACTCTTCCAAAAAATTGAAAAGGAGGGAATACTTCCAAACTCATTTTATGAGGCCATGATTACCCTGATATCAAAACCAGACAAGGATGCCACACACCCACACACAAAATTGTAGGCCAGTGTCACAGACAAACACTGACATAAAAATCTACAATAAAATATTGGCAAACCAAATTCAACAACACATCAAAAGGATCATTTACAATGATCAGGAGGGATTTATTCCAGTGATGCAAGGATGGTTCAACATCTGCAAATCAATCTACTGATATACCACATTAACAAAATGAAAGATAAAAATCCTGTTGATCAGGGTGCCTGGGTGGCTCAGTCAGTTAAGTGTCTGCCTTTGGCTCAGGTCATGATCCCAGGGTCCCTGCTCAGCAGGGAGTCTGCTTCTTCCTCTCCCTCTGCCCCTCCCCCCCATTCATGTGTGCTCTCTCTCTCTCTCTCTCTCTCATAAAAAACTCCTGTTGATCATCTCAATAGCTACAGGAAAAGCATTTGACAAAATTCAACATCCATTCCTGATAAAAACTCTCAGCAAAGTGGGTAGAGGGAATTTACCTAAACATAATGAAGGTTATATATGACAAGCCCACAGCTAACATTACACTCAATGGTGAAAAGCTGAAAGCTTTTCATCTGAGATCAGGAACAAGACAAGGATGCCTAGTCTTGCCACTTTTTTTCAACATATATTAGAAGTCCAACCCACAGCAATTAGGCAAGAAAAAGAAAAGGCACCCAAATTAGAATAAAACTGTTGCTATTTGCAAATGACATACTATATATAGAAAACCCAAAAGACCACCTCAAAACTGTTAGAACTAATAAATGAATTTAGTGAAGTAGCAGGTTACAGAATCAACATACAGAAATCTGTGGTGTTTCTATACATTAATAACAAATCATCAGACTGAAAAATGAAAACAATTCTACTTACAATTACATCAAAAAGAATAACATACTAGGAATAAATTTAGCCAAGGAGGTAGAAGATCTGTACTCTGAAAACTGTAAGACACTGATGAACAAAACTGAAAAAGGCAAATAAATGGAAAGATCTTCTGTGTTAATGTTTGGAAGAATTAATATTGTTAAAATATGCATACTACCCCAAATAATGTACGGATTCAGTATAATCCCTATCAAAATTCCAGTGGCATTTTTCACGGAACTAGAACAAATAACATTAAAATTTGTATGGAATCACAGAAGACCCCAAATAGCTAAGGCAATCTTTAGAAAAAAGAACAAAGGTGGAGGTATCCAGCTCCCTGATTTCAAACTAAACTATGAAGTTATAGTAAAACAATGTAGTATTGGTGTAAAAACACACAGAACAATGCAACAAAATTGAGAGCCCAGATTTAAACCCACGCGTATATGGACAGGAAATTTATGACAAAGGAGCCAAGATTATACAACAGAGAAAAGACCATCCCTTCAGTAAATGGTGTTGGGGAAACTAGACAGCCACATGCAAAAAACTGAAGCTAGACCACTATCTTACACCATACACAAAAGTCAGCTCAACATGGATTAAAGACTTGAATCTAAGACCTGAAATCATAAAATTCCTAGAAGAAAACACAGGTGGTAAGCTCTCCACCATTGCTCTAAGCAACGTTTTTTTGGATCTGACTTCAAAGGCAAGGGAAACAAAAGCACATATAAACAGATGGGGTTACATCAACCTAAAAGTTTCTCTATGGCAAAAGAAATCACCAGAACAAAAAAGTCAGGGGTGCTTGGGTGGCTCAGTTAAGCGTCCGACTCTTGGTTTCAGCTCAGGTCAAGATCTCAGGGTTGTGCGATCAAGCCCCGCATCGGGCTCCATGCTGGGCATGGACCCTGCTTAAGATTCTCTCTCTCCCTCTCCCACTTTACCCCCCTCAAAAAAAAAAAAAAAATGCAAGGCAGCCTACTGAATGGGAGAATATTTTTGCCAATCCTTTTTATTTTTTTTTAAAGATTTTAATTATTTGAGAGAGAGAGAATGAAAGAGAGAGAAAGCACATGAGATGGGGGGGAGGGTCAGAGGGAGAAGCAGACTCCCCGCCGAGCAGGGAGCCCGATGCAGGACTCGATCCCGGGACTCCAGGATCATGACCTGAGCCGAAGGCAGTCGCTTAACCAACTGAGCCACCCAGGCGCCCTATTTTTGCCGATCCTAATTGGATAAGGAGTTAATATCCAAAATATGTAAAGAACTCCTACAATTCACCAGCAACAACAAAAAAATCAAGCAACCTGATTTTTACAAAATGGGCAGAGAATCAGAATAGACCTATTTACGAAGAAGACATATGGACGGTCAACTAGCACATGAGGAGATGTTCAACATCATTAATTACTAGGGAATGCAAACCAAAATGACAGTAAGATCTAACCTCACACTAGTCAGAAAGACAACAAGCATTGGAGAGGGTTGCGAAGATAAGGGAGTAGTTGTGCACTGTTTGTGGGAATGCAAGTTGGCACAGTCAGTATGGAAAGCAGTATGGAGATTCTTCAGAAAATTAAGAATAGAACTACCATATGATCCAGCCTTCCACTTCTGCGGATTTATCTGAAGAATATAAAAATATTGATTCAAAAAGATATACATACCCTTATGTTTGTTGCAGCATTATTTACAATAACCAAGAAATGGAACAAGCCAAGTGCCCATCACTAGATGTATAAAGAGGATGTAGTGCGCACACGCGCACACACACACACACACACACACACACACACACACACACACACTCTGGAATACTACTTGGCCGCAAAAAGGAATGAAATCCTGCCTTTTGCAATGACCTGGATGGACCTTGAAGGTATTATGCTAAGTGAAATAAGTTAGGTGGAGAAAGACAGATACCACGTGATTTCACTCATGTGGAATCTAAAACAAAACAAAAGCAAACTTATAGATACAAACAGATTGGTGGTTACCGGGGTGGGGGGGTGGACAAATGGGAGAAGGGGGTCAAATGTATGGTGATAGACGGTAACTAGACTTTTGGTGGTGATCATTTTGTAGGGCATACAGATGTGGAGTTGTAATGTTTTACACCTGAGACTTATATAATGTTATATACCAATTTTACCTCAGTTTAAAGAAATCTCTACTATACTTGCAGGTCCTAGACATGGAGGGCATGCCACACAGGGGTTTATTGGGGTTTCCGCAGGAAAGGCAGGACAGGGTAAACAGCTTAGGATTGGCCAGTTTGAGTAATTCTGGTAGGCTTTGGGTGATAGGCATGGACTCTAGTTGAATGGTACCTGGTCCTGGCATGACTGAGGCAGAGTAATATACAAAATATGTATGCAGTAGCCGCTATCACTGTATTTCCTGGGGGCCTGTGCTTTCTGGCCTTGAGTGTGAGCCCACTCTTATACTTTCTTGTATGTTTCCAAGCCAAGAGGAGGGGGAAAGTCAAGAAGATGCTGCAGGAGACCCTGTACTATTCTACATGTCAATTTCTCGGAGTGCTAACTCCTACCGGAAACCCTTTCTCAGCCCCAGTGGGTTCTTGATCCCCATCACCAGATATCAGTTGTCCCAGGGAGTCTCCCATGAGAGTGACCTCCTTTTGTTAGGGTCCCAGGACACTGTAGAACTGGAAGAGGGAGAAGAAATGGTTGTCTCTGGGCATCAGGACAAGCTCCTGCTCTCAGGGACCAAGACTGTCATGCTTCTGTCAATAGCTAGAGGTTTCTTCTTATTAGTTGAGATACAGTTGAAATAGGACATTGTTACTTTCACGTGCACAACATAATTATTTGATATTTGTATACAAATATCAGACTGTGGTAGGTTGCAGTGTCCCCTTGCTTATGTCCCCACTGGATCGTGGAGGAAGTGCTGAGGCAGAGACGCCCTGTGGAGTCCGGTTGGTTAAAGCATATGGAGGAGGAATGTCTGGTCCTGTGTTTTCAGGACTTTGTGACAAAAATGCCCCAGGCAAGTGTACTGGTTATGGTGGCTTTAGCCTCCTTTTTTTGTTTGTTTTTAAGATTTTTTTTTTTTTTTATTCATTTGAGAGCTAGAGAGACAGAGCACAAGCAGGGGGAGAGGCAGAGGGAGAGGGAGACGCAGACTCCCCGCCAAACAGGGAGCCCGATGCGGGGCTCGGATCCCAGGACCCCGGGATCACGACCTGAGCCGAAGGCATTCGCCCAACCGACAGAGCCACCCAGGTGCCCCTGGCTTTAGCCTCTTCCCACCTTCTCGAGGAGCACACCTGGCCCCAGTGTGCAGGATCTGCAGCCCCCTCTCCGACAGGGAGCCCCCTGCATGTTTTGGGAGGAGGCGCGTGCTTGGGCAGTGCAGACACACGCGCCCTCTCCTGCCTCCTCGCAGTGACGCCCAGGATCCTGAGAGCCATGGCAGAGCGCCAGTCGGAATTCACACATTTCAAGCGGATCCGCATCGCCACGGGGACCTGGAACGTGAACGGAGGCAAGCAGTTCAGGAGCAACCTCCTTGGCACGGCCGAGCTGGCCGACTGGCTGCTCGACTCCCCGAAGCGCGCCGGCCTCGCGGGACCCCAGGGTGAGCGCCGCTGCCTTGACCGCCACATGCAGATTCCGGGGAGCCCTGGGTTTCACCTCTTCCGCAGCCCGGGACTCCTGCGATTTGGTATTTGGTGTTCTCACACTTCAGAAGGTTTAGAAAGGGCTGTGGTGCGGGTGTCCAGAGCACATCTGGACAATTACTTGACAAATGCGTGGAAGGGTCGTCGGAGTGGGGGGTCTCTCTCTTCCCGGACGGAGGTTTCTCAGTTTGCGGTTTTGCTCACCAGAGCCGTCTTTGTCATCGAGAGGAGGACGTGGCCCCTTGAGCCACGTTACTGTAGGAAACCGGGCTGGAGCCAGGCACACATTTCATGTTGCTGCTGACCCGGAGCATCTGCCCCCGCCTTCTCCCCAAACGCCTCTGTCTGCACATTCACATTAAGTCATCACAAAAGAATTGCGTGCCTTTTAAGAACAAAATAATTCTTAAGTTTGGCACTTCACCTTTGTCTTACGTCATGCAAGGTAATGCAGAAAGGGCCTCACGGTGCAGGATTTGAAGCATAAATGATTTTCTGCTGTCAGCGTTATCGTGGGGCTGGCTTTTCCCAGCTCCCTCGGATTCTGCAAGAGAGCCGGCCTCGGTTCTCTGCCAGGGGATGGGCAGGAGCCGCGCGTTCTCAGCAGCCGCCCCAAGCCATGCCCAGAGCCCGTCCCTCACTGTCACGGGCAGTCTGCACCCACCCCTGCTGCCGTGAGGCCCAAGCTGGCTTGAGTCCACAGGCTGGGGTTCCTGGGATTCTTGGGTCGGTGGTGACCATTCACAGTGCCCCCCCCCCACCCCGTCCGGGGCAGGCCCTGTACGTGCCGAGAACATGAGAGCAGCCGCAGCTGAGGGAGCTTCTGGAAAAATGGCTCTTCATGTGCCTGCAGGGATGGGTGCGTGGTGACAGCAAGCTGGCTCTTCCTTTGCAGGGGATTTTATTGGGATGGCGGGCTCAGCAGTGCCCCCACTAGAAACTCAACGGGTTCGGGAGGGGGGAGGGGTTGTGGGGACTCTTGCCAGCAGAGCAGACAAATGGGTATTTTTTTTCCTTAAACAAAGAAGAGAAACTCCAAGCCGCTTAAGCTTGTGGTTCCAGGTTGCCCTGTGAGGCCAACAGGAAAGGAAGTGGACGGCCTGGCCTCTCCCAGTGGAGTCAGGGAGGGCGGGGTCTCCCTTTCTGCAGCGCTGGGAACCACAGCCTGGCTCGAGGGCTCAGGGCCTGAGTGGCAGAAGGGGTGGGGGGAGTGCCCTGGAGAGATGTGGCCAGTGGCTGCAGGGGTCATATTAACCCCTCTGCTTCCTTAAAGGGGACACAGGATGGATGAGCAACACCTCGACCTGCTGTGTTCCCCATAAAACACATTTCTGTAGGAGACTGCCGCGGTCCCCGACCTGGGCAGGGTTTTCTCTCCAGTCACCAGGATGGCAGTCCCCTGGGACAGGACCACATCAGTCTGTCATTAACCTGGCAAGGCTGGGCCTGCACTGTGCAAAGTACGGAGTTGGCAAGCATGAGACGTGCCTTTGGGTCTGATGCGTATGTTGGTGATGCATATGATATGTTGGGGAGGAAGAGGAACCCACAGGGCAGTGCCCTTACTACCTGCCGGGGTGGGGGGGCGGGTGTGGATGCTTCACGTCACCCTTGTGAGATGGCGGTTATTGTCCCTTCTGCAGACAAAGGAACAGAGGTGTGGAGACGTCACTAACGTGTCCCAGGATGGAGACCGGGAAAGGCCATGGGCACCGGGGGAGGTGAGGGAAGGTGGGGATCAGCGTGGAGCTTCACTGAGTCATCTGGATGAGTGCAACCGAGCAGTGGCACACCTGGGCTCAAATGGGGCACACGTGGCACCCCACACGTCCACAAACGCAGACCTTGTGCTGTCTGATTTCCCTCAACTCCTGCCTTTCCCCCTAGATGAGGACAGCCCGGCTGACATATTTGCCGTGGGGTTTGAAGAGATGGTGGAGCTGAGCGCAGGGAATATCGTCAATGCCAGGTGAGCATCCGGGCACGAGGGGTGCAGGATTGCACCCTGAAACTGACCCAAGGTTTTCCTGAGCCAGGCGCCTGGCTAGGAGCAGGACACTGGGTCCATCCTGCTTCTGCATCCACTGCCCTGTGACCCTCGGGGTGTAGGTACTCCCGATTGCACTCCTCCCTTCCCCTCCCCCACACACAGATGTGCACCTCTGGTTCCTCCTCCTTTGCAAATTAAGGAAATAGAAGGAAGGGCGGGTTACTACTATATATTCTCGGACATGTGTGGAGGCTGAGTCATGCTGTGAGCTGGCGTGTGCACACGCCGCCGGGTGGGGGCTGAGGGCCGGCCTGGGAGGGTGCTGATTCACCTCTACTGGGGAAGGTGAGAAGCATAAGTGCAGGGAGAAGGTGCTTCTCTTCTCTCGACAGATACAAAGAAAACCACTGCACTAATGTTTTGTTTAGGGTCAACTGGACCTTTTCTTTCCTAGTTTAATTTCAAGGAACTTTCTGAACAAATAATAAAACCTGATCTCTGCAGCTCTTATGAGCAAGGTGCTGTGTCGGGTTTTAGGTGGCAGGGGTCGGGTGAGGTATGTGCAATGATGTGTACGACACAACCAGAAATACACGGGTAGTCCACTGCAGGAGTGAAGGCATGGCACTACCATGGGCGTGGGGACAGTGTGACACTAGTTCTATAAAAGGAATAAGGGCAGAAGGAGTTTGTCAGTGCGAGAGCCCATGTCCAGCAGACTGGAAAGTATCATTTGATTCTCGTCTTTGCCAGTACCACCAACAGGAAGATGTGGGGTGAGCAGCTCCAGAAAGCCATCTCACGCTCTCATAGGTACATTCTGTTGACTTCGGCACAGCTGGTGGGCGTCTGTCTGTATATCTTTGTACGTCCATACCATGTCCCATTCATCAGGTAAGAACATTTAGTTTATGAACATCTGGGGGGCGTGGGGTCGTTTGTCTTGGTGTTTTGTTCAGACTTCCTCTTCCTCCTCCCCTCCTGCAACAGGAATCAGGACTTGCCATTATTCTAGATAAATGTAGCAACCCCCCAAGGACAAAGCAGGCTGAATAGAATATTGTCTGACGATTAAAAAGCCACAGTGGGAACCTTGCAGGCCAGGAAGCTGAACTCTTTCAGAAGGAGTGATTGTTGTCCTCCCAAGCTCAGTTTTGTGCAAGGAAAGGGATTCCTTATTGAAGTTTTAGACAGGAAACCTCTGACCAAGAGCTGAATAACTCATCAGGAAATGCCAATTCTTTTGTCTCTTTTTAAAAGAGTTCTAAATAAGATGTGTGGGCAGAAAGCCTCTACTGCTGTTACCCCATTGTAATGCCCCTAAAGTGACCGCTTTGTATGTGTCAGATAGGGAACACTCAGCAAATGGGTGTCCTCATAGGAAAGAGTGTGTGTGTGTGTGCATGCATGTGTGCGTGCGTGTGTGCACGTGTGTGCGCGTGCATGCATGTGTGTCTGCGTGCCTGTGTATGCATGTATGTGTGTGCGTGCATGTGTCTGCGTGCATGTGCATGTGTGTGCATGCATGTGGGTGTGCGTGCATGTGCGTGCGTGTCTGCGTGTATGTGTCTGCGTGCATGTGCATGCGTGCGTATGCATGTATGTGTATGCATGCATGTGTCTGCGTGCGTGTGTGTTTAAGGTTTGGGAAGAACTCACCTTTTCCGTCAGTGACTCATAACTTCCCACTGCTACCTGGTCTCACTCATATCCGTAGAATTTCCTCCCATGCCAGGCTGAAGTCACTGCCTATGCCAGGCTGAACTTTTCCCCCTCCCGGTTGAACGCCTCTGAATATTTCGAGGAACAGAGGCGTGCTGGGGGCAGTGCTGGGAGAGCATGACTATGCCCCAGGCTCATCATCCTCTTCTTTGACTTTGGGAAAATCTTTAAGTCCATGTCCGCCTCGAGTGTTTGTTCTGGCAGTTGGGCGGTGTCCAAAGTGCGTGGGTGAAAGCCAGTTATCCCCTCACCTTGTGTGCCCGCTGACAGTCCCAGGGAGCAGGTGTCTGCGTGGAAAAAGCCTACGAATCCCTGCACAAATAACTGGACGATTCCTGCTTCTTGACACTTGTTGGTTACCTGATGGCACCTCCTGCGCTTTGCAGGAAAGTGAGGGGTGGGGCAGGGTGAGCTGTGTTAATGGCAACAAGGAGGACGAGAACTTGGGAGCGGAAAGCCGGGATGGAGGTGAAAGCTTCCCGGGTGCCTTTGTGAGCGCAGGGCAGTTGAGAGTTGGGGCAGTGGAGACGGTCCTCCGGGCCCCGCCACAGGGAGAGGAGAGAGGTCAGGAGTGACGGCCGGGGCAGTCGCCGGGTGGCCTGGCCACCCAAGAGGTGATTGAACAGCCCAGCTCTTGGCTGCCGCAAAGCTGGTTCGCACTTCTCCGTCCTAGCTGCTAAGGAGCCACCGCATGTGCACCTTCTGTGTTGCAGGGACGTGGCCATGGACACGGTGAAGACAGGCATGGGGGGAAAGGCAGGGAACAAAGGGGCCGTGGGCATCCGCTTTCAGTTCCACAGCACCAGCTTCTGCTTCGTGTGCAGCCACCTGACGGCTGGGCAGTCCCAGGTGAAGGAGAGGAACGAAGACTACAGGGAGATCACCCAGAAGCTGAGTTTCCCGATGGTGAGAGCACCGTGGCATGCGTGTTTGGTGGCCTGGAATGTGACTGGGGCGTGCGTGCTAGCTCCCTGCTCAGTGCGGCCCCGTGCGTGGTTTTCTGAGTTGCTGAGAGAGGCCAGGCATCGGGGGTGTGACTACGGAGGGTCCCTGCCCCTGGGAGGGGAAGTGACTTGGGCTGGGACAGTAGAGCTAAGTCCAGGGGATGTCCCTGGAGTGTTCTGTGCCCTGTCTCTATTACACATTTCCCGAATGTCCTTATGCACCCTACATTTTCTTTGCATTTGTGTGCTTTTTCTGATTTTCTCGTTCACTGTCCATGCTTTGTCCAAGTTGGTGAAGAACATCTGAATCCAAACAGTACAAGACTTGGTTTTCTTAAGATTCATGGTCTTCAGACCTACATTCTGTTGCAGCTCAGATAAGAAGGCCTGGGTTTTTTTTGGAATCTGTGTATTCATGTTGGAGGAGCCCTGGATCCTCCCACCTGGTCTCCCGGTTGCTGATAGCGTGCACCATGCTGCCCTCTAGTGGTGTCAGGGATTTCCACCCCAAAGCCCACGGAGCGCCTTTCCAGACTCAGATTCAGATGTTCCCCTTCCTGTGCAGAGATGATTGCCTGCACACCTTCAGCCTGGTGCAGACCCCCTGTCTCCCTGCAGTGAGGGGAGGCCAACTCTTTCCGTCACATGTCCTGCCTGTGTCTGTGACACAGCTGGCTGGGTCATGGAGCTCCTCCGTGTGAGCCCAGATAGATTCCATAAACCTGACATCCTGTGTACTGGGCTGCACAAGTACTCAAGGCGAAAACTCTTTCATTTTCACTAATAAATGCTGTAATCTCTGCTGTAGTTTCTATTTCTTGGATTAAAGAAGAAACAGGCAGGGTTGGGAAATTTACAACGTGAAGTCTTCTGGGACTACAGAGGACATGGTGCATGTTTTCTTTGTGTGTCCATTTAGTTAAAAAAAAAAAAGTCCATCTCTTCTCACTTAGAGTGCTATTTTGAAATAGTAAACTTTGGACACATTGAAAATATTCAAAGGGCTTATAATGGAGCTTTTTTTTCAACAACAGAAATATCGAGGATACCTATAAGTTAATACTCTATACCTGTGCTGCCCAGTAGACAAGCCACAAGCAGGTATTTAAGTTTAAATTCATTAAAATTAAATGAAATAAAAAGTTCCTTGGTTGCACTGGCCATGTGTCTTGGCGGCCACTCAGTGGCTGCTTGTGGCTGGTGGCTCCTGTTTTGGAAAGTGTGGATGGAGAACATTTACATCACTGTAGAACATTCTCTTGGGCAGCAGGGCTCTACACACACATTGATTTGGTTGTGATCATGTTAATCTTCTGTCCAGATTACTGTCGTGGGTTGCAGGGAGTGGAAATGCCACATGAGGATAATAGAAACAGACTTTGGAATTAGGCAGATCTGAGTCCAAAGTTGCCTTTATTACACATTAGTGATGAAACCCCAGGACAGAGCCCAGCACAGGTAGATGGGGCGGGGGGGAGGTATGTTGTGGCCGCTGTCATTGGCATGTGATTCATGGCAGGGAAGGAGGGGCGAGGATCCCGCGCTCTCCAGGGCTGCGCTGGGGGACCACGGGCTCAGGGTGGGCTAGACAGGGCAGGGGAGAAAAGAATGGGACAGAGGGTCACAGGATGGAAATGGATAAAATCCACGACATTTTACAAAGTTGCCCATTTCGAGCATTTTTATGTTCTTAAGCCTGATCCTCATAACACAATGTTTGGGCAACTCGTCTTTGGATATAGACATAATGAAAGCAGTACAGCCCGATCTCAGAGCTGGGGCGGGTGCAGTGAAGATGGGAAGTCATGCTTCCCAGTTAGAGATGAACTTTCTCCAAACCACTCAAAAACACCGTCATTTAAAATGAAGGAAGGGGCGCCTGGGTGGCTCAGTCGGCTAAGCGTCTGCCTTCGGCTCAGGTCATGATCCCAGGGTCCTGGGATCGAGTCCCGCATTGGGCTCCCTGCTCAGTGGGGAGTCTGCTTCTCCCTCTCCCACTCCCCCTGCTTGTGTTCCCTCTCTCGTTGTGTCTCTCTCTCTCTGTCAAATAAATAAATAAAATCTTTTAAAAAAATAAAATGAAGGAAGCCACATAAAGGCTCCTCAGTAGGTGTATGGGATTAAGGAAAGATGAGATGCTCCATGGGAAATCTTTTGTTAAGTAACATTTTAAGAAAAAACACATCTGGGGCGCCTGGGTGGCTCAGTTGGTTAAGCGACTGCTTTCGGCTCAGGTCATGATCCTGGAGTCCCGGGATCGAGTCCCACATCGGGCTCCCCACTCGGCAGGGAGTCTGCTTCTCCCTCTGACCCTCTCCCCTCTCATGCTCTCTCTCTATCTCATTCTCTCAAATAAATAAATAAAATCTTTAAAAAAAAAAAAAAAGAAAAAACACATCTGTATCATCTGCATGGTGAGTTTCCCTCCCACTCCCCCACCTCCTCTGCAAATGGGCCGAAATGACTGTGATTTTCTTTAACAGGGAAGGAATGTTTTTTCTCACGATTACGTGTTTTGGTGCGGCGATTTCAACTACCGCATCGATCTCACTTATGAGGAAGTCTTCTATTTTGTCAAACGCCAAGACTGGAAGAAACTTCTGGAATTTGATCAGCTGCAGCTACAGAAATCAAGTGGGAAAGTAAGTTGGGCTCTTAAGTCAGCAGCACACTCCGCTGGAGTCAGAGCTGCTTGGAAGGGCCGCGCATCCGCATCGAGCGCAGTGCTGTGTGAGGCTGCTGAATGCTGACCACCCCACCAGGTACTCACGGGCCAGCCTTGTAGGGTCTGCCGTACTTACATGTACTCAGCCACCGAGTGACACTCCAAGTACTCTGTTTTCGGGAGATCTCTGTTTCTCAGTGGTGAGCACACACACATTAGAATAATATTTGATATACTTTATATACCAACTGCTGTGGATAATCCTCCAGACCATCCTACAAATTAGGTATTATACCCATTTTATAGACAAGAAAACTGAGGCCCAGGTTAAATGAGTCCAAGATCACACAGTCAGTACACAGAGCCATCACACAGATGCAGTCCACAACTGTCAAACTACAGAGTTCATGTTTATCCCCTACATGACGCATGTGCAATTTTTTTAAAAGATTTATTGACTTATTTTAGAGAGACAGAGCGTGAGTGGGAGGAGGGGCAGAGGGAGAGGGAGAAAATCTCAAGCAGACTTCCCACTGAGCATGGAGCCTGATACAGGGCTCCATCTCATGACCCCAAGATCATGACCTGAGCCAAAATCAAGAGGCAGATGCTCAACTGACGGAGCCACCCAGGTGCCCCCCATATGCAGTTTTTTAGTGACTCCTTAGGCTATGACGTGATAGGAAAGATTCAAGTATGGGATCTGTCCTCAGTTCTTCAAGGGCACCCTGGCCAGCTTCCAGATGACCCAGCGTGTATCTTCTCCAGCTAATACCGTCTGCTCGTTTGGGTGCCTGTTAGCTTTGTAGCAGGTGGGGCTCAGATGACAGAAGCATGGCCCCGCTCCATTTACCTTTTGAAAATAATACAGCTGGTCCAGTGTGCGGAGCTGGGGGAGGTAAGGTCTTTCCTACAGCGAGATTCAGACATCCTCGAGGTTTTCTGTTCACTTCCCGCTCAGCCCTGCCCCGGATTGCCAAAGGGTGGCCAGATGAAAATGTAACCACACCATACCTTTCTAGAACAGGTTTTTCTTCCTTCCTCCTACCAGTATTGTCCACACCCTTCCACAGATGCACGGAGAGAAGTAGTGAGGTCTGTTCCAGGGTCTTCTCACGGCCCTGGGGCTGGATCCAGAGCTAAACAGAAACAGAATTTAGTTTCAGTTCTGTGCTTCTATTTACCCAACTCATTTAGTTAGCAGATATCAACGAAGGCCTTGTTAGGTACGGCCTGGCGTTGCACCAGGTCTGGTGCTGAACGGATGGGCACCTGGGATCCTCGCCGCGAGGTGATACATTGGATACCCGAGGTGGGTGGGAGATCCTGGGGTGGTGTGTAAGTCAGTGGAATGAATAATCATCACTCTCTTGGTAACAAAATAGCACACACGTGTTCAGTTTTAAACATACTTACAACTATAATGTAGATTCTGTGTCTTTTTAGGAAGAGAGCACTCTGGAATGCGCTTTTCTGTTTTTTGTTTTTGCGTACGATGTACAGAATCTAGGAGAGCTAAGGTGGTCTTGGTCTTTTCTCCCAATAGATTTTTAAAGACTTTCATGAAGGCGCCATTAATTTTGGACCTACCTACAAATATGACGTTGGCTCGGCCGCCTACGACACAAGTGACAAATGCCGCACCCCTGCCTGGACAGACAGGGTCCTGTGGTGGAGGAAGAGGCACTCTTTTGACAGGACAGGTGCGTGAGATGTATGCGCACTCAGAGCTGGTGGAGGGTGAACGATCAGTAGCATAGAAGTCAAGTCAGTCACGTTTATTCAGCACAGCGCCCTTTGCTACATAAATAACATCTTTTTTGATAACCCCAAACTACAGGAAAGTCATTCCAGTTGGTAGCCCCTAAGCTTTGGAAGTTGTGCTTTGGGGAGCCCCCCGGCTCTCCCTGCCCCCGCATCACGGCTGTCCCCCCCACATACACCACGCCATCTGCCTTCCGTTCTGGGTGGACAGCAAGGAGAGAAGCCGCCGCTCTCCCTCTCCGGTGACTCACCCTCTCACACACGTGCACTTTATCAGGCGCATTTCATTCAACCAAGCGCTGACCTGCTTAAAGCTCCAATTCCACATCGAACATGAGCCAGACGCAGGAAAGAAGAGTTTTTTCTGAATTCATTGTCAAGTACGTTTTGAATTGTTAGTGATGGCCAACTAGGAAGGGCGGTCGATTTAGAGCACCTAGAGGTAAAACAGCTCTGCTTTTCTGGCGAGGTGGACGCAGAGATTTCAAAGCAGGGAATCCCGTCGTTCAGCTCAGTCTTTGGACATCTGTGGACATCCCCAGGGCACCAAGAGGCAGGCGCACCGTGATGTCCTTAGCCGCGCCTTTGCCTGCATAGGGGGCTGCAGACTTCCTGTGTTCCTGTGGGCCCTGGGATGGGAACCCCAACAGCTACGTCTGCATTCCCACTCAGCTTGTCCACTGGGGAGGAAGTAGGCAGCACTGGGTCATCTCCATAGATGATGTACCCTAGACCCCCCGAGGCCAGCTTGGCAGGGTTTCCGGCCCGGCAGGTTAGAGCAAACGAGTCTGAGACAGCTGTGTCTGCGCCGTAGATCCCTGGTGTAGGCTTCCTCAGTCGGCATTCCCATATGTTGATACTGTTTTCTGTTGTGTGTGGGTCTCTTGATTGGAATCCCTGTGAGTAGCTGGAGAACTCAACCTTCTAGACAACTATGTAGATGCTGACAGCACCGTCAGACATTCCTGGTCTCCTGGTGCCCTCCAGTATTACGGCCGAGCTGAACTACAAGCATCTGATCACAGGTACGGTCCTCGCCGCCTCGGGCACGTTCTCCTGGGCTGCGGAAAGCGGCATCTGCTTATCCCCGTATCCCCGCAAAGAACGGACATGTGGTCCCCCCCGGGATGCGTGTGTGCACACGTGTGAAATATAGTAAAGAACGAAGAATAGTGTGACCAGTAGCTGTGTCCCCACCATCAAGAATGAATCTGTGTTGGTATTGTAATTGCTCATATCATAAAGGACCTCATTTATGAAAATTGCAAAGATGCAGCCTGTAGTATTTTGCAATTTAAATTCCTATAAATGATGTCATTGTGCAACTTGCTTTTTTGTCACTTAATGTCTTTGAGATGCAATCACGTCAGCATTAACAGACCTGGCTCATTCCCTTGTAATTGCTGTCCAGTATTCCACTAAGTATATCGATGGAATTTACCCATTTACCTACTGGTGACATTTTTTTCTAATATTTTATCATTACAAATGCGAAATGGTTTCTAAGTATTGGATTCTGAGTTCTTAAATGCTCTGAGCTGTTGGTTTGGCCTGGTGTGTCTTGCATTACGGATGGAACACAGCAGCAGGGTCGGTCAGCTCGGTGTGCACTGGGACCAGCCACAGAGGGAGATTAGTCTCATAGAACATCTTTAAAGAGACAGAGGATGGCATTTGAGGGTGTGAATAGGAAGGGTTTGATCTTCCCATGGCTGCTATCAAAACTAGCCTGTCAGTTTCAACTTCTACAAGGAAAGAAATTAAGAGAGAGAGTTGGTGATCAAGAGCCGGTCAGCCAGTAGGTCTAAAACTTTAGATATTCTAAATTCTTAGGAAACCTGTTGTGGCAAATCCACACCTTGGGAACCTTGGGAAAGGTTCCTTGGGAAAGGAACCTTGGGAAATCTCCAGTTATAGGAACCTTGGGAAATCTCCAGTTACAGGACTTTCTATAGCAAAGTATCAGTTTGCAAGTTCAGTGAGTGTCTTTAGAAGCAATTCATTTAACCTCTATTCACCGAAGGGCCTTGTATAGCAGGCCCTGTCCCTGGCACAGTGAACAAAAGAGACAAGACCATATTCTCATGGAATTGTCTAATGAGGACAGACAGACAGTAAACAAATGTGAAAAGAAAAATAGTAGTGACAAGACTCAAGGGGTTGGTGCTCTTTTATACCCAGTGTTCAAGGAAGGCCTTTTGGATATGATGACCGTGGAGCCCCAGACCTGAAAGGAGTGAGAGTGTGAGCCATAGGGGTGACGGGGGGAGAGCATTCCAGGGCGAGGCAGCGAACCTTCAGGGATCCAGAGAATCGAGGTGGAGTGGAAAGAGTAGAGGAGGTCATAGGAGCCAGGCAAGCAGTGCAGGCCATGAGGAACCCTGTGGGCCACAAGAATGTTGGGTTTGACTCAGGCTGAAGAGTGGCGTTATCTGATGAGGTGTTGACAGAATCAGCCAAAGAGAGTCCAGTGGGGCCAGGGAAGAAGCTAGTGTAGTACGCAAGGGTAGTGCCAGCCTTGGACCAGGTGGTCACAGGTCCCCATGGCGAGAAGCAGTTGGGTTCTTGATAGATTTTGAAATTGGGGCCCACAGAATTGCCTGAGGGATTGGATGGGGTTTTGGGGGGGAGCAGATTTGAGGAGGACCCCAGAGTTTGGCCTGAGCAGCCGGAAGGACGGAGTAGCCTTTGCTCAACTGGGATGCTGGGAGCTGCAGATCTGGACATACTGGTTTGAGGTGTGTCTTAGACATTTATGGATTTTTCCGATTACAAAAGCAGAGCCTTTCAGTTATCGACAGTTAGGGGAGACATACGTCCACAAACAAACCCTCTGTAGTTCCACCCTCTGAGACAGTGTCTGCAGTGGTCTGTTAGGTGTCGTCTGCATTTTCCGTGTGCATTAGAAGACTTTACACCAAAATGTTAACCTGTGTGCGGCGTGTATGTGCTCGTGTGCAGACACCCTTTTACATACATGTATGCGTATAGGGACGTTAGGATTATATTTTGCAGACTTATCATTTTGCTTTACTACATTCATATTTTAAATTAAACGTTTTATGTTGAGGTAATTCTAGATTGGCATGCGGTTGTGAGGAATAATACAGAGCTCGAGTACCCCTTCCCAGGCCCCGCAGTGAGGAGATCCTGTCACTCTGTAGCACGGTGTCACCACCAGGATAGCAGCCATGTCACTGTCAAGACACAGAACATCTCCTTCATCAGAGGGATGCCTCCCGGCGCCTTTTCACAGCCCTGCTCCCTAACCCCTGTCCGCCGCTGCTCTTCTTCTCCCTTTCCCTAATTTTGTCATTCCAAGCATGTTACATAAATGGAATCAGAATGCGGGGGGGGTGGGGGAGGGGACTGGCTTTTCCCCGCCAGCCTCATTCTCTGCAGATTCACGCAGTTGTCCCGCGGATCCGTAGCCCATTCGCATCCCTGCTGGGGGCGCTGCCCGTGAGCATCTGCACCTGCCCCTGCCTTCCTGAGCGAGGAGGCTTCTCAAGCGTGTGCAGTTTCTCCCAGAAGGTTTTCTGCCACTCACTTAGTGCATATCCCTGCATCAGATTTTTCTCCGTCTTCTTTTTTTTTCTAGATGCCAAAAAACCCCAAAAATCTAACAATGGCGATACAAATTTGTGGGAGGAGCATACTGATTATCACTCACATCTCTTCATTTTTGCAGTGTTCCCTGGTTTTAAAGGTCACTGCCATATCATCTACTCTTTTGTCTTCTGTTTTGTTTCCACTTAATGCTGTATTATAAAAGTCTTCAAGAAGATTACATAATCTTCATAATAGAGGATTTCCTAAAGTTTTGTAAAGAGAGTAAACCCACCCCTATATCACAATGGCAATAAACGGTTGCATTATTTCCTGCTGATCTGTTTTCCTGGGTATGTCAACTCGACTTCTCTGACATTATTCTTATTAATTGTGTAAAATATTATCATATGGCTGCACCATAACCTGTTTCCCTGTCATGGGACAGATAGACTGTTTCCCCTTCCCCCTTCCATCAACAGTGCTGTAATAATCATCCTGTGTACAAATCTTTATGTGAATCTCTGGTCACTTTCTTAGAACAGAGTCCTAGAATTAAATTAGTAGGTTAAAAGAGATGAACATTTTTGAGATTCTTTTTTTTTAAAAGATTTTATTTATTTATTCATGAAAGACAGAGAGAGAGAGGCAGAGGGAGAAGCAGGCTCCCAAGGAGCAGGGAGTCTGACGCGGGACTCGATCCCAGGACCCTGGGATCATGACCTGAGCCGAAGGCAGACGCTTAACCATCTGAGCCACCCAGGCGCCCCATGTACAATCCTTTTAATGGCCATAGTCTTCTCTTGAGTAAATAAAAAAGTAGAATGGATATATCATGTGGTAGATTTAAGCTTAATTTTAAAAAACTGGCAAGTTGTTTTTTTTTCCAAAGTAGTTGTGCTCTTTTACATTTCCACCAGCATTGTATGAAAGTTCCAGTTTCTCCAGTACTTGGCATGGTCAGTCTTAATATTAGACATTTGTAATAGGAGTAGTGTTTTTTTTATTTTGCATTTCCCTAGTGAATATTGATATTTAGTATTTTACTGTATTTCTTTGCCATCAGTATATCTTCTTTGAAGTATATGCTAAGATATTTTCCCCATTTTAAGTGTTTTTTTTCTTTTTTGAGTTTTGAAATTTGTTTTATATTGTCTAAATACAGATTCTTTTATCACATGTGTGATTTGCAAATACTTTCTCCCAGTCTGGCTTGTCTTTTCCTTCTCTAAATAGTGTCTTTCTAAAAGTTGCCATTCTTCATTGTGTTTAAGTTCAGTTTATCAAGGATGGCTTAATGGATCATGCTTTCAGTGTTCCATCTTCACCTAACTTCACGTAAGCCAATGTTGTAGAATGGTAACCCATTATAAGGATATGAATATATAATTTTGAATTTTACTGATTTGAAAAACCAAAGTCTGATGAGTTAGATTTTCATGCAAATTTTAGCAGGCCTGAAAATAAAAGGATTTTTTTTTAGAACTTTAAGGTGTAATTGACAAAACAGGAAACTACATGTTTAAAGTATACAATTATATATGTGTCCATACATATATACTCATGAAATTATTACCATAATCAAGATAATAAACATACAATCAAGATAACAAACATATCACTCACCCCCAAAAGTTTCCCAATTCCCTTTTAAAATTCTCCTTTCTATGTTTCCTTTTAGATGTTATATGCTTAGATCTATCCTCCATTTTGACTTAATTTTTGTACATGGTCGGAGGTAGACACTGAAGTATGTTTATTGCATAGCAATAGCCCAACTGTTAGGCAACATTTATTGAAAAGACTATCTGTTCATTGAATTGCCTTTGAGTCTTTGTAAAAAATCAATTAACTATAAATATGTGAATCTATTTCTAGATTCATTTTTTTAACCTGAAGCCAATATCACAGTTTTGATTTTTACAGCTTTTTAAAAATTATTAGTCATGTAGTGTAAGTTCTCCACCTTTGCTCATCTTTTTCAGTCATCTGGTTATTCAGATTTTTTGTATTTCCATATGAATTTTATAGCATGTCAGTTTTTATTAAAGACCTGATGAGATTTTGATAGTGATCACATTGAATATACAGATCAATTTGGAGAGATTTGATATCTGAACAATATTAAATCTTCCAAACTATTAACATGCTATCTCTCCATTTTTTTTTTAGATTTCTTAAAATTTCTTTCAGCAATATTTTATAGTTCTTATTATAAAGTTCTTACATCTTTTTTGAAAATTATTCTCAAAGTACTTCATATTTGGGGATGTTACACTAGATAGTATTGAATTTTAATTTCAATTTACAATTGTTTGTGAGCATATAAAAATGCACTTGGATTTTGTATATTAATCTTGTATCCTGCAGCCTTGCTAAACTCACTTATTCTAGTATCTTTTGTAGAATCGATAGAATTTTCTTTGTAGGTGAGATTTTTCTCTGCAAATACAGGTCTGCTACTTCCTTTCCAGTCTCAACACATATTACTTTTTTCTCATTGTAGTGCACTAAAACTTTGAGCATGATGTTAAATACAAATGGTGAGAGTGAACATCCTTAGCTTTTTCCTGATCTTATGGGGAAATAATTCAGTCTTTCACCATTAAGTATCATGTACCAGTAGGTTTTTTATAGATGTCCATAGTGGGTTGATGATACTGCTTTCTAGTCCTAGTTTGCTGAGAATTTTTCTTTTTTTTTTTCTTTTTTCTTTTTTCTTTTTTTTATCAGTACTGGGTATTGGATCTGTTGATGACTTTTTACATCTAATGAGATGGTCACATTTATTCTTTTGCTACTTTGATAATTTGGTAAATTAGATTGTCAAATTTTGAAACAACCTTGTATTATTTGGATAAATCATATGTGATCTTGATGTCTTATCATTATTACATGTTGGATTTGATTAAAATTTGTTTAGGAATTTTTGCATCCATGCTCTTGAATATTGGAGGGTAATTTTCTTTTGTGATATCTTAGACTAGTTTCAACGTCAGAGTAATGCTGGCACTGTAGAATTTATTGGGAAATATGCTTTTTTTAATTTTCTGGAAGAGTATATACAGTATTGGTATTATTTCTTGATTAAATGTTTGACATAATTTCCTGGTGAAATTATCTGGGTCTGCAAGTCCTGTGTGGGAAGAATTTTAACTACATATTCAATTACTTTATTCATTATGGGGCTATTTGAGTTGACCTATTTCTTCTTGAGGAAGTTTTGGTCATTTTGATCTTTGACAGATACTTGTCCGTTTCCTGTAAGTTGTCAAATTTATTGACCTACTTTTAAAATAATAATTCTTTATTGTCCTTTTAATATTTGTGAATTCTGAAATGACATCACCACTCTCAATCCTTTACTGGTAATTTGTATCTTTAGTCTGATACTCCTGATCAGGCTGGCATAAAGTTTAATTTTATTCATCTCAAATAATTAGCCTTTGGTTTTATTAATTTTCTCTATTTTTTTTGTTTCATAACAAAATATTTTGAGTGTTATTTGCTCTTATTCTAGTTTCTTAAAATGAAAGCAGAAGTAATTTCAGTTTTTTCTAATATATATAGTACCATAAATTTCCCATTAAGTTTTATTTTAACTATACTTCAAAAATTTGATATGCTGTATTTCCATTTTCATTTAGTTTTTTGACCCACACATTATTGGGAACTACATTTATAATTTCAAAATATTCAAGGATTTTCCAGAGATTTTTCAATTAATTGTGGTCTGACAACATACTTTTATGACTTGAATCCTTTTAAACTTGAGTCTCGACTTTTGACTTGGAACATGGTCTATTTGGGTAAATGCATAGTGTACCCTTAAAGAATGCATATTCTGATTTTTTTTTTTTTGCATGAAGTGCTCTATGAAAGTCAATTAGATTAACCTGATTGTTAATGTTATTAACACTTTAATATTCTTTTTTTTTTTTTTCGTCTCTTTATCCTGTGAAGTATTAAGAAAAGGAGTTGAATCCCTGAGTAAGGTGTAGATCTGCCTGTATCACCTTGTATCACCTGATAAATCTGTCAGTTTGGTCTTGTATATTTTGCAGCTCTATTATTAGATGAATAAATGTTTAGGATTATTATGTTGTTCTGAAGAAGTCGCTCCTTTTATCACAGTGAAATAGTCTTCTTATCCCTGGCATTATTTTTTACGCTCTGAAATAGTTTGTCTAATATTAATAGAGCCACTCCAGCTCTCTTTTCATTAGTATCTGGCAGGTAAACCTTGCCCTATTTTTTCACTTTTAACCTATTTAGATCATGATATTTAAAGTGGGTTTCTTACAGAGTATATATAACTGGATATTGTTTTTTACCCAATCTGTCAATTTCTTGTCTTTTAATTGGGGAATTTTAAATCTTTACATTTAAAATGATTATTGATATGGTTGGATTTAAACCTACTATGTCACTATTCATTTTCTAATTTCCTATCTGTTCTTTGTTCAGTTTTCCCTATTTTTCTGCCACTTTTAGGATTGAGGATTTTTTATTTCATTTTATCTTTTTGTTCTGTCTAGCTACATTCTTTGTTTTTGTAATTTTAATGGTCGCTTTAAGATTTATGGTATACATTTTTTTAAATTACCACCATTTACTTCAGGTGATATTATGCTAGTTCATATATCACAAAAGAACCTTATATTATCCCTTCTCCTCCTGGCCTCTGCTTTTGTTGCCACATATTTTACTTCTGTATGTTAAAAACCTCACAATACATTGGTACAATTTAAACAGTTGATTATCTTTTACAGGGATATCAATAAAAAAAAAACCTTTATATTTACCCCTGTCATTACCATTTCTAGTGCTCTTTATTTCTTTGTGTGAGTCCAGCTTGTGATTCATTCAAATCTGAGTTTTTGACTATCAAAATAATTTTTTCTTTGTTGGAACTGTTTCAGTACAAATTACTTAATTATTTACAAAGCACTAAAATGTCCTTGCAATCATATTGCAGCTATTTTCCTCATCATGGCTCCCCAAAACACAGACATTTACAAAGGGACTTATTTTCAAGTCTTTTCCTGTCAACTAGCCCTACTTTAGATTTCCTTAT